GAATGACAGATTATATGACAATACAACAAGGGGAGATAACTCCTTGATTAACTCATATCTTCAAATTAAATATATATGACACAGACATCTTAATGCAATACGCATTTCAAATGAAATAGATGTGATACTCAGTATCACATAAACATATACGAGAATGCAAAATTAACATAGTTCCTACCCGGTGTATGGCACTAGGGTGCACACGACGTTCACTAAGCTCCGCCAAGCCAGATATACCAAGCGTACCTAAAATCCGTGTAAACAATATGCAACATTAATTCTACAGTAACTACAAATCAACATATCTATTATCATTACAAACACATGGAAGACATCAAAACAACTTAGGCTAAAAATGTACTTACGTACATTCACATATACACTATTCTTCCTCTCATATATGAAATCAGTCATTCAAACACTCAAACATGCAACAATTCACTCATAGGGAAAATATAAATACGTGAATGAATTATATGAGTTATTTGATAGTTTTTTTATATTAATTCTATACTCCGAAATGCACTAAAACCTGACTAAAGTGTTATTTACATTTAGGTTAGATTTACCATTATTAAGGTTGAATTTACTGATTATATTTAAACCCACACAATACAAATATAACATATAAAGTGTACACACTTATAAACCAATGTAAAAGATTAAACTAACCTGTGAGGTAGTTGCATCTGTTTATGACTCCATGGTATTACAATCCTGATGGTGCAAAGGGTGAATGTGAAGTGCAGATTTGAATTAAGAAAGAGGGCAAGAGTTTGAATTAAGAAAGAGGGCAAGAGTTTGAATGATCCAATTGGTGTTGATTAAATCAGGCCACGTAATAATGTGGTAGCCCTACCTATCTACCCTTAATTATATTAGAATGAAACTTACTATAGAGCTAATAATAGACCCAACCTTCTGTGTCCTTATAATTATAGTCTGTATCAAAATGACCAAACCTGTTGATAGAAAAAATACATTCATTAGTTAAAATGGGAAATAATATACCTGCAATTCTTAAAGCAATTGTCATTATACAAATATCAATGCAACGCTTAAATGACTTAAACTAATATTTACATAACTATATAATACAATAATATGTATCTGCCACAGACAGCGTCTGTATCAGAACTGGCAGATCTTCACTGTTCAGGCTCATCAAGCCTGTTTGACCCCTTCGTCATAGGCTACCGGGTACCCACTTCTCGGGATCATGGTTGACTGGTCTCTCATATCACGGTGTATCATATCGCTCTCCACCGGCCCCGCCATTCGACGACGACATCCACTGCCTTCTTCGTCGACATTGCCGACACCAACGCTCCTTTACCCTGCCTCAGCGCCAGCATTCCTCAAAGAGACTCTTCCCCGGCGCTCCCCGGGTTTTCCACGGCGCCCCCGGTGCTCCTGCATTTTTTTCGCAAAACTCGGGTACACCACTTGTTTGTCTACCACACACTTCATTGTGGATTGTCTGTGTGTGGAGATTGCGCCTCATTTCCGATTTACATGTCACGTGTCAAGTACACCGACTGTCAACAACTCCGACCGGAATTAGGTCAACTGACCATGGCGAGCGGTGCAATGTATTTCTACTAATGGAAACGATAGACCTCCGCTGCAAACACGGCTGTCACGAGGCACCTCGTTTCATCGCCCCCTCACTATAGGAACGATAGCGCCTATACAGCGTTAAAGGGATGAAAAAGATGGCCTTCCTTGGCTACCAGATACAGCATCGATTTTCTACTTCGTCCCACGACCGTTCCATCGACCCCTGTTGACTACTTGCCTAGTATCTAGTTGTCGTCCTTCATCGTCACCTCGATATAAGAACAGGAGCGCTGATACGACGCTCAGGGGATTGAAACGATCACATTACTTCGTGAAGTACGGTGTGATCTACCCAAACCACAGTTTTACAGATTTCCTCATTCTCTTATGGACACATTGCCTCAACTTCTGACTACCCAGTTATGCAATGCCTCAGCAGTCGATTGTGGAGCTGGTTTATTTCGTCTACATGGGGTTTCGTTCGCAGGCGAGTACACCTCTCCACTCTGCTGACTTTTCAACTTTGCAGTCTTGTAGACGACCTCATTTACCATGACTTCCCGCTCTTCCACTGCCACTTCAACCTTGTCAGTGGCTAGTGTTCTGGGATTGCCCACACCAGCCCACGTTGTGATCGACTGTGATCCGGAAATTAACACCATTTGCACATCAACAGCCTCGAGATAAAAGCGCTTATCCAGGACATCACTTGCTGGCAGAGAATTCTCAGTCACGCCTTGTTGATCATGTCCATTGACAACATCCCCATGGTGTGGTGTTTGAGGAACCAGGGTACTCTCCACTCTCCATCCCTGCTAAACCAGACCACCGCTTCCTCGACTTGGTGGTCAGCCTGGACCTGTACTTTAAGAAAAAGGAGCTCGTCTTGCACTCACCAGGTTGAGAGCATGTTCTGGCACAGGCTCTGTCCAGGCCTAACAAGGTGGCACCCACCAAATGGAAGCTGCACCCAGAGGTCTTTGCCAGACTATGTCAAACGATCGACACACCAAACATCGATCTGTTCGCCACATCTCTGAACTGCCAGCTGTCGCCTTACATTTCACTGGTGCAGGATCCGGCCGCTGTGCAGTCAACGCCTTCAGTTTTTCCCGGGAAGGATTATAGCGTACGCCTTTCCACCTACGGTTCCCTCTCCCAAGGTTCTTCAAAGATCCAGGCCACTCGGGATCTGACACTGATTTTTGTCGCGTCTTGGTGGCCGGCCAAAAGTTGGTTTATCGACCTCCGAAACATTACCAGAGACAACCCCTGGAACTCCCAGTGTGGTCCAACCTTCTGCTCCATCCACACAGTCACACGCTAAAACCCGAACAGTTTCGTCTGCACGCCTAGCACATCTGCAGAAAGCCCCATGAGCCAAGGGCTATTGGGCTAGAGCGACCATGCTATTGCTTCAGACCACCGTCCATCTACACGGGGACTGTATGATGATAAATGGTGCTCGTTCCAGGTATTCTGTTCAGACAAACACCAGGATCCGATGACAGCGTCACCGCAGTTCCTGGCTCAGTTTTTTCTGTACTTGTGCAGCACCCGTCGGTTGAAGGGTTCTACCATCTCCACATACCTGGTTGCCATCAACTCCTTTCTTGCCATCCCAGACGATCGGATAATGATGAAAATTCCCAAACTACAGGCCTGGCTGCGCTTGTTCCGTCTTGAAGACCAGAAGGCCAAGTTCAGACCGCCTGCGTTGGATCTGAATGTGGTCTTAAACGCTCTTCGGATGGCGCCCTTCGAACCACTCCATATGTCTTCTTTCTACGACCTAAGGAAGAAGACGGTGTTTCTACTGGTTTCGGCTACTGCCGCTCGGGTCAATGAGCTCCACGCCCTCAACGTCTCCCATGTCCAGTTCGAACGCAGTATTCTGGGTGCAGTTCATCATGGACCGTGCTGGGACTTCATCGTAAAGAATCAACTCCCAGGACAGCCTGATAGATCATTCATTATCCCCTACCCCCTCGTCCATTGTGGGTGCCGAGGATGAGGAGGAGTGTTAGTATGCGCAATAAGGGCACAGAAAGTTTTCTACGACGATCTAAAGCCTGCTGCAAGTCGAGGAAACACCTTTTTTCTGCCGGTCTGCCCTTCGTCGCAGTTGTAGGTCAGCCGGATACTTTTCCCTTTGCTCCATGCAGTCATCCTCCAAGCTTATAAACCCGCCGGATTGGACCCTCCCCACAAGGCTATCAACCCGCACGAAATCAGGGCGATCGCATATACCATGGCTCTTCACGGTATAACTGTTCCATCCAGTCGCTCATGGAAGGTTGTTGTTGACGGTCGGACACCGCCTTCACCAACCACTACCTCCCTGATGTAGCCTTGGAAGATGTCGCCAGCGTTCACAGTTTTGGCCCCCAGTTGTAGCCCAACAGGTCTCCTATCACCAACGCCACTGATTCTACGATACCCTGAGCGGGGCCTGTCGACCTCACTGGTGTTTATCACCTGAGATTAGAGGGCTCTACTGCGTTTCGCTTTTGCTCTTAAGTAAGTTCTAGTTTTTGGCTACCCGCCTCATTCTATTTCAGTTACCTATTCGTGTGTTTCCTTTTTGCATTGACTCCGGTTTCCTGAAGACAGGAATGGTTGTAGATGTTCCGTTCATCATTTGTGTGCGGTGCGGATTCACCGGACCTTAACGAGGGTTTATTGTGGATCACATTTAAAGGTATGCCCACCGGCCATGAGTCTGATAAAGATACAATTCGGTGTAATGCAGGATAAGTTAAAAAATGTAGTAAAATCTAAATATTTTTAACATTTGTATACTTATCCTGCATTACGAAGTCTAAGTGCCCTCCCTTTGCTACGCTGCCTCCCCACGAAGTTTCAAATGTTATGTTTAAAGCAGTTATGTGTTTTGATGTTACATCATGACTTCCGGGTCACGTGCCGACTGTGAGAGGGCGCTGCTTCCTGTACTGGTTGGGACAAGTTTCTTCAGCAGCTGGATCTCACACAGTTCGTCTCTCTGTCAAAAGACAGCAGTAAATGCAATACGGAGTAATGCAGGATAAGTATACAAATGTAAAAAATATTTAGATTTTACTGAACTGGTGTCAGTTTCTAAGGCTGCCTTGTGTCTTGCCCTGTGGAATAGCAGCTACAGATTGCTGTGTGTTGGTGGTTGTCATCATGTCCAGACAGTGCTCGCACTATCCCTGTCAATATTACTGTGTACAACTTGAAACATCCCCCATTCCCTCTGATGTTGTTCTACTTTTGTCTCACCATTGTCTCATCATTGTCCTACCATTGTCCAATTGTTGTCTTACTGTTGTCCCACCATTATCTTACCATTGTCCCACTGTTGTCCTACAATGTCCTACCATTGTCCCATTGTTGTCCCACTGTTGTTTTCCTACCATTGTCCCACCATTATCTCACTGTTGTCTGTGTCTATGCAGGGTGTGTTGCCGGAGTCTGTACCTGGACTGCTTGTCGTGGTACAGCAGCCTCTTCCCGATACTGACCCTGCTGCCTCGAGGAGAAGTCTGGGTGAGTGCATCTCATCTACTTCTTTCTGATCTCAGATTATACAGGAGGAACCAGCAAGTACCACCCTAGTCAGATTATACAGGAGTAACCAGCAAGGACCAACCTTGTCAGATTATACAGGAGGAACCAGCAAGGACCACCCTTGTCAGATTAGACAGGAGGAACCAGCAAGGACCACCCTTGTAGGATTATACAGGAGGAACCAGCAAAGACCACCCTAGTCAGATTATACAGGAGTAACCAGCAAGGACCACCCTAGTCAGATACTACAGGAGTAACCTGCAAGGACCACCCTAGTCAGATTATACAGGAGTAACCAGCAAGGACCACCCTCGTCAGATTATACAGGAGTAACCAGCAAGGACCACCCTAGTCAGATTATACAGGAGTAACCAGCAAGGACCACCCTAGTCAGATTATACAGGAGGAACCAGCAAGGACCACCCTCGTCAGATTATACAGGAGTAACCTGCAAGGACCACCCTAGTCAGATTATACAGGAGTAACCTGCAAGGACCACCCTAGACAGATTATACAGGAGTAACCAGCAAGGACCATCCTAGTCAGATTATAAAGGAGGAACCAGCAAGGACCACCCTAGTCAGATTATACAGGAGTAACCAGCAAGGACCACCCTAGTCAGATTATACAGGAGTAACCTGCAAGGACCACCCTAGTCAGATTATACAGGAGTAACCTGCAAGGACCACCCTAGTCAGATTATACAGGAGTAACTTAGCTATAGAGTGTCAGGGTTTTCAATATCTGTGGGACATGAGATCGATGTACACTATGAGATTGCAGGTACATTAAAACTTATGTACACTATTGTCGGGGAGATGAGCTCCCTCCACATAGTTGTTTTTAGCACAAAAATAAACATCCTAGTTGCTGTTATGAAACTTGATGCTGATAACAATTGAAGAAAAGTAAAGATCCATCACTTGAAGATGGCACACTATATTACCATTGTCTGTTGGATTCAGTTGTTACAGACCACACCACTGCCTGAAGATCTGACATTCTGGCTGGGCAAGAGGTTATGTCTGGACAACATGGCCGTGTGAGTACACCAGTAGTAAATGACTGTGAGTAGACCAGTAGTAACTGACTGTGAGTACACCAGTAGTATCTGACTGTGAGTACACCAGTAATAACTGACTGAGTAGACCAGTAGTAACTGACTGTGAGTACACCAGTAGTAACTGACTGTGAGTACACCAGTAGTATCTGACTGTGAGTACACCAGTAGTAACTGACTGAGTAGACCAGTAGTAACTGACTGTGAGTTCACCAGTAGTAACTGACTGAGTAGACCAGTTGTAACTGACTGTGAGTTCACCAGCAGTAACTGACTGTGAGTAGACCAGTAGTAACTGACTGTGAGTAGACCAGTAGTAACTCACTGTGAGTAGACCAGTAGTAACTCACTGTGAGTAGACCAGTAGTAACTCACTGTGAGTAGACCAGTAGTAACTGACTGAGTAGACCAGTAGTAACTGACTGTGAGTAGACCAGTAGTAACCCACTGTGAGTAGACCAGTAGTAACTGACCATGAGTAGACCAGTAGTAACTGACTGTGAGTAGACCAGTAGTAACTGACTGTGAGTAGACCAGTAGTAACTGACTGTGAGTAGACCAGTAGTAACTGACTGTGAGTTCACCAGTAGTAACTGACTGTGAGTAGACCAGTAGTAACTGACTGTGAGTAGACCAGTAGTTACTCACTGTGAGTAGACCAGTAGTAACTGACCATGAGTAGACCAGTAGTAACTGACCATGAGTAGACCAGTAGTAACTGACTGTGAGTAGACCAGTAGTAACTCAATGTGAGTAGACCAGTAGTAACTGACTGTGAGTAGACCAGTAGTAACTGACTGTGAGTAGACCAGTAGTAACTGACTGAGTAGACCAGTAGTAACTGACTGTGAGTACACCAGTAGTAACTGACTGTGAGTACACCAGTAGTATCTGACTGTGAGTACACCAGTAGTAACTGACTGAGTAGACCAGTAGTAACTGACTGTGAGTTCACCAGTAGTAACTGACTGAGTAGACCAGTAGTAACTGACTGTGAGTACACCAGTAGTAACTGACTGTGAGTACACCAGTAGTAACTGACTGTGAGTACACCAGTAGTATCTGACTGTGAGTACACCAGTAGTAACTGACTGTGAGTACACCAGTAGTAACTGACTGTGAGTTCACCAGTAGTAACTAACTGAGTAGACCAGTAGTAACTGACTGTGAGTACACCAGTAGTAACTGACTGTGAGTACACCAGTAGTATCTGACTGTGAGTACACCAGTAGTAACTGACTGAGTAGACCAGTAGTAACTGACTGTGAGTTCACCAGTAGTAACTGACTGAGTAGACCAGTTGTAACTGACTGTGAGTTCACCAGCAGTAACTGACTGTGAGTAGACCAGTAGTAACTGACTGTGAGTAGACCAGTAGTAACTGACTGAGTAGACCAGTAGTAACTGACCATGAGTAGACCAGTAGTAACTGACTGTGAGTAGACCAGTAGTAACTCACTGTGAGTAGACCAGTAGTAACTCACTGTGTAGACCAGTAGTAACTGACCATGAGTAGACCAGTAGTAACTGACTGTGAGTAGACCAGTAGTAACTCACTGTGAGTAGACCAGTAGTAACTGACTGTGAGTAGACCAGTAGTATCTGACTGTGAGTACACCAGTAGTAACTGACTGTGAGTACACCAGTAGTATCTGACTGTGAGTACACCAGAAGTAACTGACTGAGTAGACCAGTAGTAACTGACTGTGAGTTCACCAGTAGTAACTGACTGAGTAGACCAGTAGTAACTGACTGTGAGTTCACCAGTAGTAACTGACTGTTAGTAGACCAGTAGTAACTGACTGTGAGTAGACCAGTAGTAACTCACTGTGAGTAGACCAGTAGTAACTGACCATGAGTAGACCAGTAGTAACTGACCATTAGTAGACCAGTAGTAACTCACTGTGAGTAGACCAGTAGTAACTGACTGTGAGTAGACCAGTAGTAACTGACTGTGAGTAGACCAGTAGTAACTGACTGTGAGTAGACCAGTAGTAACTCACTGTGTGTAGACCAGTAGTAACTGACCATGAGTAGACCAGTAGTAACTGACTGTGAGTAGACCAGTAGTAACTCAATGTGAGTAGACCAATAGTAACTGACTGTGAGTAGACCAGTAGTAACTGACTGTGAGTAGACCAGTAGTAACTCACTGTGAGTAGACCAGTAGTAACTGACCATGAGTAGACCAGTAGTAACTGACCATTAGTAGACCAGTAGTAACTGACTGTGAGTAGACCAGTAGTAACTCACTGTGAGTAGACCAGTAGTAACTGACTGTGAGTAGACCAGTAGTAACTGACTGTGAGTAGACCAGTAGTAACTGACTGTGAGTAGACCAGTAGTAACTCACTGTGAGTAGACCAGTAGTAACTGACTGTGAGTAGACCAGTAGTAACTGACTGTGAGTAGACCAGTAGTAACTGACTGTGAGTTCACCAGTAGTAACTGACTGTGAGTAGACCAGTAGTAACTGACTGAGTACCTGACTGTGAGTTCACCAGTAGTAACTGACTGTGAGTAGACCAGTAGTAACTGACTGTGAGTAGACCAGTAGTAACTCACTGTAAGTAGACCAGTAGTAACTGACTGAGTAGACCAGTAGTAACTGACTGTGAGTAGACCAGTAGTAACTGACTGTGAGTAGACCAGTAGTAACTGACCATGAGTAGACCAGTAGTAACTGACTGTGAGTAGACCAGTAGTAACTGACCATGAGTAGACCAGTAGTAACTGACCATGAGTAGACCAGTAGTAACTGACCATGAGTACACTAGTAGTAACTGACCATGAGTAGACAAGTAGTAACTGACCATAAGTAGACCAGTAGTAACTGACCATGAGTAGACCAGTAGTAACTGACCATGAGTAGACCAGTAGTAACTGACCATGAGTACACTAGTAGTAACTGACCATGAGTACACTAGTAGTAACTGACCATGAGTACACTAGTAGTAACTGACCATGAGTAGACCAGTAGTAACTGACTGTGAGTAGACCAGTAGTAACTGACCATGAGTAGACAAGTAGTAACTGACCATGAGTACACTAGTAGTAACTGACCATGAGTAAACCAGTAGTAACTGACCATGAGTAGACCAGTAGTAACTGACCATGAGTAGACCAGTAGTAACTGACCATGAGCAGACCAGTAGTAACTTACTGTGAGTTCACCAGTAGTAACTGACTGAGAAGACCAGTAGTAACTGACCATGAGTAGACCAGTAGTGACTGACCATGAGTAGACCAGTAGTAACTGACCATGAGCAGACCAGTAGTACCTGACTGAGTAGACCAGTAGTAACTGACCATGATTAACTGACCATGAGTAGACCAGTAGTTACTGACCATGAGTAGACCAGTAGTAACTGACCCTGATTAACTGACCATGAGTAGACCAGTAGTAACTGACCATGAGCAGACCATGATTAACTGACCATGAGTAGACCAGTAGTAACTGACCATGAGCAGACCATGATTAACTGACCATGAGTAGACCAGTAGTAACTGACTGTGAGTAGACCAGTAGTAACTGACTGTGAGTAGACCAGTAGTAACTTACTGTGAGTAGACCAGTAGTAACTGGCCATGAGTAGACCAGTAGTAACTGACTGTGAGTAGACCAGTAGTAACTGACCATGAGTAGACCAGTAGTAACTGACCATGAGTAGACCAGTAGTAACTGACCATGAGTAGACCAGTAGTAACTTACTGTGAGTTCACCAGTAGTAACTGACTGAGTAGACCAGTAGTAACTGACTGAGTAGACCAGTAGTAACTGACCATGATTAACTGACCATGAGTAGACCAGTAGTAACTGACCATGAGTAGACCAGTAGTAACTGACCATGAGCAGACCAGTAGTAACTGACTGAGTAGACCAGTAGTAACTGACCATGATTAACTGACCATGAGTAGACCAGTAGTAACTGACCATGAGTAGACCAGTAGTAACTGACCATGAGCAGACCATGATTAACTGACCATGAGTAGACCAGTAGTAACTGACTGTGAGTAGACCAGTAGTAACTGACTGTGAGTAGACCAGTAGTAACTTCCTGTGAGTAGACCAGTAGTAACTGACCATGAGTAGACCAGTAGTAACCGACTGTGAGTAGACCAGTAGTAACTGACTGACCCGCTATCACTTCCACCTTGGTTGTAACTGTTGTTTCGTTGTCTCATGATTGTAAATGTTGTTCCCTTGTCCTGTCACAGAGACCCACCATCAACTGGTGACCGACAGTCTGACAGCCTGGTCCTCCTTCCATCCCTTGGTGAAGATGAAGATGAGGAGTCTGCTGAAACCTCTACTAACTGTCTGAAGAGAAGCTTGGTTGTAGAGGAAGATATCGGAGGTACACACCCGTCCAGCTACAGAGGCTGTCAAACTACTTGCTGTAGTTCAAATAACCTTCAAATTTGTATTTGTCAGGGGTTAAGACAGGTTGTAACAATGTTTTGACCTCCATGGAGATTCTGGCTGTAGAATAGGTCCCCAGCAACCTATACTTGACTTGATTGATTGCATGACATCGTAGCACAAGAGAATGGATCATTGCTCACAATAATACTCACTGGATCATCTGGACCAGACTTTGTTATGTACAGGTTGCTGTGATATATGTGTAATATTGTTGAGTGAAGTGTTGAATAAAAAACAAACAAGCAAACAATACAATGTTTGACAGCCACTTTGCTTGATACCACTGTTAGTGACAGAGATATTTGGGGTGATGTTTACTTTAACCTGATGAATCAGCCTCTGTTTCCATTGAGAACCCACATCTGTAGATGCATGCCAAGTAGAAAATGTTTGGAACACAGATTCACAGACATCTTAGGAAAGTTCAGTGTGGAAAAGGGCAATTGTCCGAAGTGGGCATTAGCTGTACATGTATTCTCTGTGTCATATTATTCTGAAACTTTGTGATCCTATTCAGAAATTATCTTCTTTCAGCACCAGTTAGTGTTTCCAGAGTGCAGAAGATTAGTGACACTGGTCAGAGGATTAGTGACACTGGTCCACCTAAGAAGAAAAAGAAAGGTAGCCAACTTTGCAGTGAAACAGATGTCACAAGTATGTTCAACTCATCCCCCACTGTGAGTGATCCATCATCATTAAACCCAACCTCAGCAGTACATGTGCCCATCATAAATCGAGAGACATCCCAAAGAGATGAACCCACAATGGAACATGTGCCCATCATTAAACGTGAACTCTCAAGCTCACTCTCTGGTTCACAATGGCCCTCCCAAAGACAGTGGTCTTCAGTACAAGAATTAAAAAGAGTTGTTCGTCAATCAAACAGCTGCGAAACAGTATTAAATATTTTCAAAGAGTTTGAACCAAAAGACTCCATTAATGCTAAGACCGTTTGGGATGAATACCCACAATTTAGTTACTCACAAAAATGCCAGTTGTTCCGTAACAAACTAGACACAATTAAGAAATGTTGCCGTAAAGCTGATGATGAAGGTGTGCCTGGTAGTGTTCCGGACAAGTGGCTGGCTGATGCAAAAAGTCAGTGTTTCACATATCTGAAGGGTTTGAATGCAAGCAATAAACACAACGTGTCAGTGATGATGACCTTGGAGGGACTGCAGGAGATGACTGGGGAACTTGCCACAGGGCACCTGTCACTGGGAGAGAAGACATGGAAGTTGAATCCACATGATGCTCGTGTCCTCAAGGTGAAGCTGGAGAGTTGCTGGAGGAAGATGCAGATGGTCAAGCCCCCAGCCATGTGGAAGCCTTTACAGGATAAGGCTCGAGACCGTGTCATGAGCTATATCAAGCGTTCAGTGGCCTACCAGGATGTGAAAACGGAGGCCACAGATGGTGATGGGAGTGACAGTGTTGATTACAGTGGGCCACCTATGCCTACAAGGCAGAAGTGGAAGCAAATTGTGCTGCCTGCACAACGTGCATCAAGCACCTCCGACAGAGATAATGATGAGCGGTCTGACATCAAAGACACAGGCTTATTGGCGGAGGCTGACAATAGCAATGCTTGTGTAGCACAGAAGTCAAAGAGAAAGAAAAAGAAAAGAAATGTCAATGAGTGAAGTAGAGTGCATTCATACTCAGGCCTCAGTCAACAAAGCAATCTAAATTATAGTTCCTGCATGTTGAGGGGTAGAAGAAGTTGGAGTGATCATATGTCTTTGTTGGTCAAAGGCAATGGCCCACTTCTACAAGGCAGTGTAGTCTTAGGTTGCAGGTTTGATGTGCATGAAGGAAAGATGGGGATGAATCAGCCTGTGGCTTTTTGTTTGTGTTATATCTTGGTGTTAGCATCAATATGTGTCACCTATGGCTAGAACTGAAGGGTCAGTACGTCGACCATTCTGAAGCATTGTTTGCAACAAAAGTCGATAACCCCCGAGCTTACTCAGCTCTGTTCACCTTATTCCACGAGAGAAGTTTCTGCTCCAGTGACCACTCTGCTTGTCAAATGACTGGACTTTTTTCGGGTTTGTAAACAAACACACTTATTCTGAAATAAAAACAGATGGGCCTAATGCAAGCCTTTCAGTGCGTTGTACATATTATTTTGCATATTTATATAGACATGCTACTACACTTGTGACAGTGAGGTCCATGACAATATTGCTTTACACACACAGTGGGCATACCGCTAGCTCTCCTTAGGGCTTCGATGACAGCATGGGAAAGATAAATACACAAATGGAATAAGTTTTTTACATTTAGGATATTTTCTCAATGAAAGTTAAACATTTCAAGACATATATATTTATATAAATGTGTAGACCTGTCTGAAATGAAACAGATGAAATGCCATATATTGCATGGACTATGTTAGATGTGGTGATTTAACAGAGGTTCTGGGATGGCCACTAGGAACTCTGGGTAAGAGAGTGATTGGCTTCATAATGACCGAGGCGTTTATGTTGTATGTGTAATGTAGGCTTTGTGAAACACTGGCTTCTAATCCAATCAAGCTGGTAATTAGTATTTTGTAACTCATCGGTGAGAAAATAAAGCTTTCCCTTCAGTTTGTCTCTGATTAAAACATTACTGAAGCCAGTTACTCTGTGCAGCACTTGTGCACTGAGCTCTTTTGTTTTGGTTTGAGAATTGAATTGTGCATGAACTAAGGTGTGATGTCACACTCGGAAATTATTTCATGCAAATTTTAAAAAACACCCAGAACCATCAACACACTTGCCCTTAAAGAACACCCAAAACCATTAACATTTGGCCCTTAAAAAATACAGAGAACTGACAATTGAACCTAAGGATCTACATAAATCTTAAGTAGATCAAGTAAGCTTAGCTTAAGTAGCTTATATCTACATGTCATTCACACTAAGTTCATTTAAATATTAATATCAGTGAAGTATTTTATGCAGTTATATACAGAGAGTTTGTAGAAGTGAATGTGTTGAAAGATGCAACCCTAAAGGAGCCTCATATACGAAGGGCCGCAACTCTAACTGTAACATGTTCTAATTATCTGCCCTTGACGATCACGTTATGTTGGTTCTGCAGCGGACAGCTCAACTTATTTCCTGTTATTTTCACAGTGCCAGGTTTTGTCCTGAGCACTTCATCGCCGTCAGTAGAAGAGTGTGTTCTAGTGTTGGTAAGATACAGTTTCATATGCCTTTATTGATGTAATAGGCACCAACTGTTAAATGTTAGATGGCATTCCAAATGGAATCGGCCGCCATCATTACTGTACTCACTAACTCAGTTGGGTGAGCGCCCAATTCTTATTTCTGGTTGAATGAGTCACTGGTGCCGTTACTGTCGTATTCCTTATTCACAGTTCTAACGCGGCAAACGGAAGTTCGTTTCACAGACAATGTGTTGCATGTTGTGCACGTGGAGTTTCAACCATAATGCACAGTATTATTGTGACAAAACAATTTGTTGAGACTATGAGATAGAGAGGCAGTGATCGGTCATGGTCATGATGGAATATGTTTCACGGGAAAGTAATTCTCAGCGCCCAATATCGCGCACCATTTTTAGAATCCGTTGAAGTGCAAGTAAAATCATTTTATATTCCATAGGACTGGCGCTGCAGTGACGGACCCCTCAGAGTGTTGAGCTAGGTTTCTGAGGTCTCTTCCGCAAGACCCTCCCCTTTTCCTTCTTTTTTTCTCTAGACATCTGACTTTGTATGCGCAATGCCGACCATGATAACATGTTTGTTTGGTTGTTACTGTAAAATGGTGTTTATGATTTTATGGGTGGAACACGACCACGCCACTCAAACAAGTGGAACCCCTCCTTTTTGAAAGTCCTGATTCCGGACGCTGGGTTTAGGCATACATGGTTCGCAGAGTGTGTGTGCGCGTTGAGGTGTTCAGTCAATAACAGCTTTTACTGCATAATGTCGAATGATATAAGCAAGGAAGAGGTACTCGTCATGCTATTACAATTTTGTGTTCAAGCAGAGACCATATAATAATCTATTATATGGCCTCTGGTTCAAGGAACAGAACGTCGACATAACCCCCGAGCTAATTCGGCTCTGCTTCCTTTTTCTCGTAGGCATATCACGTGATTGTTACCTAGGCTTTGATACACACTGTTTTCTAATATAATCAAGCTTGCAATTAGACTTTTTGTAACTCTATTGTGACTTCTTTTTTTTAAAACATGACCTTTCTCTACAATTTGGCTCTTCGCTGTGCGGAGCTCTGTTGTTTTTTGTTTGAGGATTGAATCGGGCGTGTGACATCACATCACGCGGAAATTAAATCATGCAGGTTTTAAGAACATGCACACAGAACCATCGACGTACTGTCCCTTTAGTTGACATCGCCACCTGCAGTGTTTCATCCATATAGCGATTCGCAATGTTAAGTGCTTTGTTGCACAGTAAAATAAACAGCCCAATTTCTCGTCCTGGGATTGAATCCCGTCGAGATACACGTACGTTTCTTTTGACAAGTAGACTTATATCTTGACATTGTATTCCCTGGGATATTGATTCAGTTGGTCTACTGCAGCATCAGACGAGAAGCTGAGCAGATGGTCCTACTGGTCGTCCCGATACAGACTGGCGTCTCACCGGGACACTCCGTTTGACTGGTTCTTGTCTGGAGAGACGCTTTACCCTGCCCTCCTGACCCATCTCAGAAGACTGTCTCGCACACATCACACGCTCCGCATTATGGATGCAGGATGTGGGAATTCGGACGTCCCTTGTTGTCTGTACACTCATTGCGTGGAGGTACCTATCGAACTGCACCTTGTAGACTATGTGAGCGAAGCTTTACATACTCAGAAGGCCTGGCTTAGAGACAGGCAGAAAGGTCACCCAGCAACAAGTGTACACTGTGTGGAGTGTGACGTGACCAGGCTGCCTTACAGACCAAACACCTTCCACCTGGTGGTTGACAAAGGAACAACAGACGCCCTGCTGAAGGACCCCGTCGATGGTGTACGGAGGAGTCACAAGCTGGTGTCAAGTATGGTTGATGTGCTGCATCCGGGAGGTGTGTTTGTCCACGTGACGGACGAGGACCCAGACTCGCGGCACGGGCTCCTGGAGGAGGCAGTCAGGGGGACGGGCTCTGTCTTCACTTTCTCTGAACTCACGGCAGGAAACCACGAGTATTTCATGTTTCAATATATTAAAGAGTCTTTAGTCCAATAAACCAACGACACTTTTTCTGTTTTTATTTGAGTTATTAGATATATATTTCAACTGTGTCAGATATAATCATTTTCTAGTCATGTCGTCTTGCTGGACGTAAGGGTCGCCGTGTCGTGACAATGTTATATGCGAGGTTGGATTTATTTGCGTATGGTTATTACAATTAAAACGTCTTCTGAAAACCACGACCATGTATATTAATTACAGTATGCGTTATTAAAGTGAACTGTTGAAACTTGGAATGGAAGCAGCTCTTTGCTACTTGGTGCTCTGTGTTGTGATATAGGGTTTGCTTCCGCCTTTTAAGTGGTGGAAGGCGACTATGCTTGTCGTAAGAGGCGACTAACGGGATCAGGTGGTAAGGCTCGCTGACTTCGTTGATGCATGTCATCGTATCCCAATTGCGTGGACCGATGCTCATGACATCAATCACGGGATTATCTGGTCCAGATACTTATGTGTGTCTCATCTCAAAGGGTTTCCCAGAGGGGGCGGGTGGGTGGAGAAAGTAAAATAAAAGGGTTCTTTATTGCAGAATACGTATTCACGGTGGTCAAACATTAAACGCTTTGTGGTAAAGGATCTAGGGGGAAAGCACATGTAGATGAAAAAACACAGGTTCGAATCAGTTCTACAATCACTTTATTTTTAAAACACGTATGTATGCTTTGACATGCAGTCTGAGGTTTATGACAAAAATATATAAATCCGAGAATGTCTTGAATTTTCTTGTAAATAGGCAGTACATCGAAGGACGCATTGGAGTATTGTTTAAAAAATAGTAACTGTCCGGTAAGTTTGGGCTACCTTAAAGTCGTGTATATTTGTATGAAGTATGAAATGACAAAATATACGTACAAATAGAAGGAATCACAGTCAATGTTACCAAATTGGCTCACTGTAAGTAAACCTGGCGTACAGGTTCATGGAGGAAGGCTGGACAGGCTGGAGTCACGCTCCTCGCGGTAAAAAGGCACTTTACCTCTCTTATCGCTGAGGGAATCACCGAAGGTAGGATAGTCGGGCGGTTTTCAAAAGTGATAGCAAGATGTCTACTTTAATGACCAAGGTTGGACCACCCCCGATCTTTACAAACAGATAGGCCCGTCTGTGTGGTTGCCTTTGTCGCAGTTTTTCATGCTATTGTGATTTCTCAAACAAACACAGCTCCCCACTTTTTTTTTTCTTTTTTTTTTGTTGTTTAACGCCGCACTCGGCAATATTCCAGTTATATGATGGCGGTCTGTAAATAATCGCGTCTGGACCTGACAATCCAGTGATTGACATCAATTGGGATACGATGACGATGATCATCCAAGTCAGCGAGACTAACCATCCGATCCCGTTAGTTGCCTCTTGCGACAAGCATGGGTTATTCTACCCCGGATCTTCACGGGCCTACAATAAGTCAGGACGCCCTACTACCGTAATACTGCTGCCTGGGGTCCGTTCACCACTCTGCTTTAAGGACACCGAGAGTTTCCTGGTTTTGAAGTTCATCCAGAATAGATCCATAGGCGTCTTGTAGTACACATAGATATACTCACTCACTCACTCACTCACTCACTCACCCACTCAAGAGAGATGTGTACAACCATTATTGACATCTTTCCTGCCTCGACAAAAAAAAAGCTATGGTAATGATGTCCATATTGCGACTGTGGTGACTCATGAAGATCCGGGGTAGAATAGGTCTTTAGCAACCCATGCTTGCTGTAATAGGCGACAGGCTCGCTGACTTGGTTGATGCATGACATCGATCCCAATTTACAGACCGCCGTCATATGGCTGGAATATTGCTGAGTGCGGCGTTAAGCAACAAATAAACAAACACTTCTGGTATCAAGTACTAATGAACATTCACACTGCTCAGAGTTCCTGAATGACCCCTTTATCCAAGAAAACGTAAACATCGCTTGTTTATTCTCAAGAAGACTGCAACTATAACCAGCTACACGTACTAACTACAAGCTCTCTGTACGTTGACAGTCCTTGTGGTTCAATGCGCCGTTCTTGTACATAGGAACACGGTCAACAACATCCACACGACCATCACGTAGATGCCGCCGCACACAACGACCACGCAGTGTCGCCGACTTCGCTGCAGGTTTAAGTACTGGCGTAATGTGCCTCTATATGGGGTCTCCATACCCACAACACTGTCTCGACTCGGCTAACATATTTCCTTTAGCTGAACTGAGGATGTGTTGAGTCGTGTGCATCAGGTTATTCCTGATAAATTTCACTCATCACTTTCTGCAATAAAAATATTCCAGATGTAAAAATTAAGATACTTATGTGTGCGGTGCTATGAACTGATCAGACAGTCAAGAAAGGTAGGTTTGGGTAAGCCATTACATTCTTAATGGAACACACACACACACACACACACACACACACACACAGATGTATGTATGTATGTATGTATGCATGTATGTATATGAAGGGGAAGACGTTCTGTTTTGGGATATGACAGGGTGACACCATCGGTCAAACAGAATGACTCCCTCTGCATTAAGGCAGCATCTTGTCCAAAAGATGTGCCTTTTGATTGCTATTTTATGCAACATGAGCGAGTGATTATGGTTTTACGCCGCTTTTAGCAATATGTATGGAATATCACGGCGGGGAACACCAGAAACAGGTTTTACACATTGTACCCATGTCGGGAATCGAACACGGGTCTTCGGCGTGACGGGCAAACGGTTTAACCACAAGGCTGCCATACCGTTCCCTATGGAACATAAAGAACCCGTGAGTGCCCACCTGTGTTTCTCTTTGGCGTCTGCTGGGATAAGTTGGTCGGAAGCCACACTCTGGCTTGCCGTCGCAGTGGTTATGCCCCGACTCCCAACTCCTGACGTGACGCGCACTTCCCGGAGTTTCCTGTACTTGTTCTCTCTGTCGATCAGATCCCTACAGAGTCAAACAGAGGGGTGAGTTCTGATTCCAAGCCACCACTGTACAGCCGTTTAGTCTGTCTAGAACATGTTGGACAACCTTCAAGTATGCGTAGGTTATGACGTAGCAATTAGCGACTTGACAGTTGTTGCTTGTCATATGCATGCAGTCGGAATAGTACAACGATTTCTACTGCAGCAGAGATGGAAAATATTTTGTCACGTTCATTCGTGTAAAAATGAGACGATGGTTCTCAAGTAAGATCTGTGTTTGATTATGTACTCCACTTACACGAAGTCAATCTCCCCGCTGCAGTCCCTGTCAAGCATGTCCACAAGCCGCTGAACCTGCCGCTCCTCCAGGTTCACCCCCGCCTCCTGGACAGACAGCAGCAGCACATGTAGAGCAATTACTAGTTCTAGAAAACCGGGGGGGGGGGGGTGGTTGGCGTGTTAAAAAAATACTTTTGCGTCAGACTATTGAAAGAAAACGAAATCGCCGGCCACTAACATTACATTGTTGTGAGGTGTTTTTCTAAACAAGAAATCAGTCTCATCGTTATAAATACAAAAATATCAGGTTTTGTAGCTGTAGCTTATAATATATCTCGTCACTCATTACCCCCCCCCCCCCCCCCCCCCCCCCCGCACCCAACCACACCCACACAACCCACCCAACCCCTCCGAGTATCAAATGGTCGGCCCCCAATAGCTGTCTGAAAGGTGAGTATGAGCCTCTGAGACTATAAGCAAATCTACAGAATATTTGCTAAGCACCGAATATTGCACGCATTGGGAATCTGCGTGACGAACGAACGATGTACCACTAGGCTACACCACCGTCCCACAACATCCTGAAAGTATCAAGACAAAATATGCGTCATGCATGGTGTCCTCTTTACTGGCAACATGTTTATGTTTGGACGGTTGAGGGATTTATCATAACGATAACGTGCATGTGCTCCTGATTCCCATTGTACCTTTATTGCTCTCATGAAGTCCTGGCGGGAAACGGCACCTTTGTTGTCGGAGTCGTGGGCCGTGAACAGGTCCACCAGTCTCATATCCTGGGAATCCACATGCTCCATCACCACCACAAGCGGGTCACGCACCTTCATCCTCGGTAGCTGTAGTTCCCTCAACACAGCATCCCCACCCCTGAGGGTGTCCCCGTGGACGACGCGGAACGTCGGCCGGAAACACCTCACACTGTCGATCAGTCTGGAGAACTCCCCCGAAACAACCACATCCTGCAGAAACAAACGGGTGAACTGGAAGGATTGGGGACACGATCAGGGACCAAACCTGGAGGTAATCGGGAATAAAACTGATAGCGCCATTGTTTAGGATCCCAACGTCTCACGATCTATTTACATGCCCGCATTCAGTCCATTGACCATCAGTTTATTTACATGCCCGCATTCAGTCCAATGACCATCAGTTTATTTACATGCCTACAATCAGCACAGTGACCATCAGTTTATTTACATAACTACAATCAGCACAATGACCATCAGTTTATTTACATGCCCATAATCAGTCCAATGACCATCAGTTTATTTACATGCCTACAATCAGTCCAATGACCATACGTTTATTCAAATGCCTGCAATCAGTCCAATGACCATCAGTTTATTTACATGCCCGCATTCAGTCCAATGACCCTCAGTTTATTTACATGCCTACAATCAGTACAATGACCATCAGTTTATTTACATGCCCACAATTAGTCCAATGACCATCAGTTTATTTACATGCCTACGATCAGCACAATGACCATCAGTTTATTTACATGCCTACAATCAGCACAATGACCATCAGTTTATTTACATGCCTACAATCAGTCCATTGACCATCAGTTTATTTACATAACTACAATCAGCACAATGACCATCAGTTTATTTACATGCCCACAATCAGTCCAATGACCATCAGTTTATTTACATGCCTACAATCAGCACAGAGACCATCAGTTTATTTACATGCCTACAATCAGTCCAATGACCATCAGTTTATTTACATGCCTACAATCAGCACAGTGACCATAAGTTTATTCAAATGCCTGCAATCAGTCCAATGACCATCAGTTTTTTTACATGCCCGCATTCAGTCCAATGACCCTCAGTTTATTTACATGCCTACAATCAGTACAATGACCATCAGTTTATTTACATGCCCAGAATCAGTCCAATGACCATCAGTTTATTTACATGCCCACAATTAGTCCAATGACCATCAGTTTATTTACATGCCTACGATCAGCACAATGACCATCAGTTTATTTACATGCCTACAATCAGCACAATGACCATCAGTTTATTTACATGCCTACAATCAGCACAGTGACCATCAGTTTATTTACATGCCTAAAATCAGCACACTGACGATCAGTTTATTTACATGCCTACAATCAGCACAGTGACCATCAGTTTATTTACATGCCTACAATCAGCATACTGACCATCAGTTTATTTACATGCCTACAATCAGTACAGTGGCCATCAGTTAATTTACCTGCCTACAATCAGCACAATGACCATCAGTTTATTTACATGCCTACAATCAGTACAGTGGCCATCAGTTAATTTACATGCCTACAATCAGCACACTGACCATCAGTTTATTTACATGCCTACAATCAGCACAGTGGCCATCAGTTAATTTACATGCCTACAATCAGCACAGTGACCATCACTTTTTTAACATGCCTACAATCAGCACAGGGACCATCAGTTTATTTACATAACTACAATCAGCACAGTGACCATCAGTTTATTTACATGCCTACAATCAGCACAGTGACCATCACTTTTTTTACATACCTACAATCAGCACAGTGACCATCAGTTTATTTACATGCCTACAATCAGCACAATGACCATCAGTTTATTTACATGCCTACAATCAGTACAATGACCATCAGTTTATTTTACATAACTACAATCAGCACAATGACCATCAGTTTATTTACATGCCTACAATCAGTACAATGACCCTCAGTTTATTTTACATAACTACAATCAGCACAGTGACCATCAGTTTATTTACATGCCTACAATCAGCACAATGACCATCAGTTTATTTACATGCCTACAATCAGTACAATGACCATCAGTTTTTTAACATGCCTACAATCAGCACAGTGACCATCAGTTTATTTACATGCCTACAATCGGCACAGTGACCATCAGTTTATTTACATACCTACAATCAGCACAGTGACCATCAGTTTATTTACATGCCTACAATCAGCACAATGACCATCAGTTTATTTACATGCCTACAATCAGCACAATGACCATCAGTTTATTTACATGCCTACAATCAGCACAATGACCATCAGTTTATTTACATAACTACAATCAGCACAATGACCATCATTTTATTTACATGCCTACAATCAGCACAGTGACCATCACTTTATTTACATGCCTACAATCAGCACAGTGACCATCACTTTATTTACATGCCTACAATCAGCACATTGACCATCAGTTTATTTACATGCCTACAATCAGCACAGTGGCCATCAGTTTATTTACATGCCTACAATCAGCACAGTGACCATCACTTTATTTACATGCCTACAATCAGCACAGTGACCATCAGTTTATTTACATGCCTACAATCAGTACAGTGGCCATCAGTTAATTTACATGCCTACAATCAGTACAATGACCATCAGTTTATTTACATGCCTACAATCAGCACAATGACCATCAGTTTATTTACATAACTACAATCAGCACAGTGGCCATCAGTTCATTTACATAACTACAATCAGCACAGTGACCATCAGTTTATTTACATGCCTACAATCAGCACAAAGACCATCAGTTTATTTACATGCCTACAATCAGCACAATGACCATTAGTTTATTTACATAACTACAATCAGCACAAAGACCATCAGTTTATTTACATAACTACAATCAGCACAGTGGCCATCAGTTTATTTACATAACTACAATCAGCACAATGCCCATCAGTTTATTTACATAACTACAATCAGCACAGTGACCATCAGTTTATTTACATAACTACAATCAGCACAAAGACCATCAGTTTTTTTACATACCTACAATCAGCACAGTGACCATCAGTTTATTTACATGCCTACAATCAGCACAGTGACCATCAGTTTATTTACATGCCTACAATCAGCACAGGGACCATCAGTTTATTTACATGCCTACAATCAGCACAGTGACCATCAGTTTATTTACATGCCTACAATCAGCACAGGGACCATAAGTTTATTTACATGCCTACAATCAGCACAGGGACCATAAGTTTATTTACATGCCCACAATCAGCACAGTGACCATCAGTTTATTTACATACCTACAATCAGCACAGGGACCATAAGTTTATTTACATGCCTACAATCAGCACAGTGACCATCAGTTTATTTACATGCCTACAATCAGCACAATGACCATCAGTTTATTTACATAACTACAATCAGCACAGTGACCATCAGTTTATTTACATGCCTACAATCAGCACAGTGACCATCAGTTTATTTACATGCCTACAATCAGTACAGTGGCCATCAGTTAATTTACATGCCTACAATCAGCACAATGACCATCAGTTTATTTACATGCCTACAATCAGTACAGTGGCCATCAGTTAATTTACATGCCTACAATCAGCACACTGACCATCAGTTTATTTACATGCCTACAATCAGCACAGTGGCCATCAGTTAATTTACATGCCTACAATCAGCACAGTGACCATCACTTTTTTAACATGCCTACAATCAGCACAGGGACCATCAGTTTATTTACATAACTACAATCAGCACAGTGACCATCAGTTTATTTACATGCCTACAATCAGCACAGTGACCATCACTTTTTTTACATACCTACAATCAGCACAGTGACCATCAGTTTATTTACATGCCTACAATCAGCACAATGACCATCAGTTTATTTACATGCCTACAATCAGTACAATGACCATCAGTTTATTTTACATAACTACAATCAGCACAATGACCATCAGTTTATTTACATGCCTACAATCAGTACAATGACCCTCAGTTTATTTTACATAACTACAATCAGCACAGTGACCATCAGTTTATTTACATGCCTACAATCAGCACAATGACCATCAGTTTATTTACATGCCTACAATCAGTACAATGACCATCAGTTTTTTAACATGCCTACAATCAGCACAGTGACCATCAGTTTATTTACATGCCTACAATCGGCACAGTGACCATCAGTTTATTTACATACCTACAATCAGCACAGTGACCATCAGTTTATTTACATGCCTACAATCAGCACAATGACCATCAGTTTATTTACATGCCTACAATCAGCACAATGACCATCAGTTTATTTACATGCCTACAATCAGCACAATGACCATCAGTTTATTTACATAACTACAATCAGCACAATGACCATCATTTTATTTACATGCCTACAATCAGCACAGTGACCATCACTTTATTTACATGCCTACAATCAGCACAGTGACCATCACTTTATTTACATGCCTACAATCAGCACATTGACCATCAGTTTATTTACATGCCTACAATCAGCACAGTGGCCATCAGTTTATTTACATGCCTACAATCAGCACAGTGACCATCACTTTATTTACATGCCTACAATCAGCACAGTGACCATCAGTTTATTTACATGCCTACAATCAGTACAGTGGCCATCAGTTAATTTACATGCCTACAATCAGTACAATGACCATCAGTTTATTTACATGCCTACAATCAGCACAATGACCATCAGTTTATTTACATAACTACAATCAGCACAGTGGCCATCAGTTCATTTACATAACTACAATCAGCACAGTGACCATCAGTTTATTTACATGCCTACAATCAGCACAAAGACCATCAGTTTATTTACATGCCTACAATCAGCACAATGACCATTAGTTTATTTACATAACTACAATCAGCACAAAGACCATCAGTTTATTTACATAACTACAATCAGCACAGTGGCCATCAGTTTATTTACATAACTACAATCAGCACAATGCCCATCAGTTTATTTACATAACTACAATCAGCACAGTGACCATCAGTTTATTTACATAACTACAATCAGCACAAAGACCATCAGTTTTTTTACATACCTACAATCAGCACAGTGACCATCAGTTTATTTACATGCCTACAATCAGCACAGTGACCATCAGTTTATTTACATGCCTACAATCAGCACAGGGACCATCAGTTTATTTACATGCCTACAATCAGCACAGTGACCATCAGTTTATTTACATGCCTACAATCAGCACAGGGACCATAAGTTTATTTACATGCCTACAATCAGCACAGGGACCATAAGTTTATTTACATGCCCACAATCAGCACAGTGACCATCAGTTTATTTACATACCTACAATCAGCACAGGGACCATAAGTTTATTTACATGCCTACAATCAGCACAGTGACCATCAGTTTATTTACATGCCTACAATCAGCACAATGACCATCAGTTTATTTACATAACTACAATCAGCACAGTGACCATCAGTTTATTTACATAACTACAATCAGCACAGTGACCATCAGTTTATTTACATGCCTACAATCAGTACAGTGGCCATCAGTTAATTTACATGCCTACAATCAGCACAGTGACCATCAGTTTATTTACATAACTACAATCAGTACAATGACCATCAGTTTATTTACATGCCTACAATCAGCACAATGACCATCAGTTTATTTACATAACTACAATCAGCACAGTGGCCATCAGTTTATTTACATAACTACAATCAGCACAAAGACCATCGGTTTATTTACATGCCTACAATCAGCACAGTGACCATCAGTTTATTTACATAACTACAGTCAGCACAGTGACCATCAGTTTATTTACATACCTACAATCAGCACAGTGACCATCAGTTTATTTACATAACTACAATCAGCACAAAGACCATCAGTTTATTTACATAACTACAATCAGCACAGTGACCATCAGTTTATTTACATGCCTACAATCAGCACAATGACCATCAGTTTATTTACATAACTACAATCAGCACAGTGACCATCAGTTTATTTACATGCCTACAATCAGCACAATGACCATCAGTTTATTTACATAACTACAATCAGCACAAAGACCATCATTTTTGTTACATACCTACAATCAGCACAATGACCATCAGTTTATTTACATGCCTATAATCAGTACAATGACCATCAGTTTATTTACATGCCTACAATCAGCACAAAGACCATCAGTTTATTTACATGCCTACAATCAGTACAATGACCATCAGTTTATTTACATGCCTACAATCAGCACAGTGACCATCAGTTTATTTACATAACTACAATCAGCACAAAGACCATCAGTTTATTTACATAACTACAATCAGCACAATGCCCATCAGTTTATTTACATAACTACAATCAGCACAATGCCCATCAGTTTACTTACATAACTACAATCAGCACAAAGACCATCAGTTTATTTACATGCCTACAATCAGCACAGTGACCATCAGTTTATTTACATAACTACAATCAGCACAAAGACCATCAGTTTTTTTACATACCTACAGCAGCACAAAGACCATCAGTTTATTTACATGCCTACAATCAGCACATTGACCATCAGTTTATTTACATGCCTACAATCAGCACAGTGACCATCAGTTTATTTACATGCCTACAATCAGTACAATGACCATCAGTTTATTTACATGCCTACAATCAGCACAATGACCATCAGTTTATTTACATGCCAACAATCAGCACAGTGGCCATCAGTTTATTTACATGCCTACAATCAGCACAGTGACCATCAGTTTATTTACATGCCTAAAATCAGCACAATGACCATCAGTTTATTTACATGCCTACAATCAGCACAGTGACCATCAGTTTATCTACATACCTACAATCAGCACAGTGACCATCTGTTTATTTACATGCCTACAATCAGCACAGTGGCCATCAGTTTATTTACATGCCTACAATCAGTCCAATGACCATCAGTTTATGCTATGAGATCCAAAGAACAGTGAGCATGGGTTTACAGAGTTCGTGAGACACTGACGGAGGTATTTTATGTCAACATTCCTCACCGATATCTCCACTGTGTGAATCTCCATAGACGGGTGGTCTCTGAGAAACTCCACGAGATACACCGCCCCCTGGTGGGTGATTGGATTATTGCTCAGCTGAAATATCACAGTAAGCTTGTCATTATTCCCTTCATGTTACCTCTATCATGACTTTGTCTAATCTGCAAGTTCATTATATGTCTTCTTAACTCAACTGGAACTAGATCAGATTGAAGATTCCACATTGCAATTTTTATTGAGAGAGGCGTAGAAATTCATTGGTGTGGAGGTTTAATCCCGCCAAGAGTAGTATTGTCCATCGGCTCAACAGAATGCTCTTGATTAGTTTGATTGTTGTTTAACGCCGCACACCAGACAATCCAGTGACTGACGTCATGACCATCGATCCACGCAATTGGGATACGATGACATGCATCAACTAAGTCAGCGAGCCTGACCACCCGATCCCGCCTCTTACGACAAGCATGGTCGCCTCTTACGACAAGCATGGTCGCCTCTTACGACAAGCATGGTTGCCTCTTACGACAAGCATGGTTGCCTCTTACGACAAGCATGGTCGCCTCTTACGACAAGCATGGGTTGCTAAACGGACTGCGGTACTGGCGTCACCCTGAGCGTGTTCAATGTGTTGTTGGACTGCATCTTCTTGAGGAGGTCGCCCAGTGCCTGCTGCCCAATACGACACGAGTTGAGAGCCAGCTCCTCCAGTGTCGTGTTGTCCCTGAGGGCCCCGCCAACGGTCCTCGCCCCCTCCGTCCCCAGCCCGTTCCAGGACAGGTCCAGACTCCTCAGGACGGTGTTCCCCTGAAACAGGAGCTCAAGTAGATCTGCCTCACCTGGTGCTTAGTGCATTCTTGAAAGAAATATTTAACGCCGCACTCAGCAATATTCCACCTATATGATGACGGTCTGTAAATAATCTAGTCTGGACCATACAATCCAGTGATTGATATCATGAGCATCGATCCACGCAATTGGATACGATGACATGCATCAACTACCCGATCCCGTTAGTCGCCTCTTACGACAAGCATGGTCGCCTTTTACGACAAGAATGGGTTGGTGAAAACCTATTCTACCCCGGATCTTCACGGGTCACAAGAAGTAAAGGGGTCACATGACAAGGTTGCTGTAACTGATTATATGTTCTACGAGTGACCTTTTGACTTTTTGATGCTGCTCTTATATACAATGTGGTGATGAAAGTCTTGTTCGCTGATGTTTCATTACCTTGATTCCAGCAGCCATCCCCGCCACACCCGCCGATCTCAGGTGGTTCCAGCTCAGGTTCAGCGTCTCTAACGTCGAGTTGAGCCCTGCAGGGAGACACGTTGTCTTTACAGTTGGTGGATGGTTTGACAATATTTGTGCGGCATCACGAAGTCAGATTGATGGGTAATGTAAACCCAGTCGCAGGTTGTCGATGTTTGGCACTTGTATAAACCAACCAGCACATCCTTGGTGCAGACATACCAGGGTCATATTTGGGGAGAATCAGGGATTCAAACACAGGATTCCGGAGCCCTGCCTTCTACCACTGGGTTGCCTGTGCCTCCATAAGTAAATGCACGTTTATCAGACAGATTTCGTCAGTTTAAAACCAACATACAAACGGTTGAGCTGGAGTAGGTCGACAACCCCGCGTTGTGAGATAAGTGACTATAAAAGTCCAGTTTCCACCTCGCCGAAATAGGTTGGAATTCCGTGGCACGATCAAAACGCCCCCAGTAGCTATTGTACGAGTTGTATGTCCCTCCTATTGACCAATTACAGATTCCGCCTCGCATATTACTTGTATTTGCTTCAAACAAAATGGCGGAGCCCAGTCAAGACGATCTGATTGATAATCAAGATCTACATTGTAATAAAACGGGTCTTACCTCTTTAGTGCATCAAATCACTTGAGTACCTTGATTAAATAAAAGCAACAAAATCCTTTCCATATTCATAAGAAATCTCTGCTGAAAGTACGATTCCGACTAGATCATGAGCATGTGTTTATGAATCACTATCAAATAGTGATGATACCAGGTGTTCGCGAAAAGGTGAATGTATCCTACTTCAACCCGTCACAAACACATGCAAAGACATGTCAACTGTCCAAATGAAAAAAAAACAATAAAAATAAGTAAATGAATCGGACATCAGTGTTGTCACTCATGCTTCAAATTTGAAATCATGAAAAGATTTGGTAAATATCTGTCGACGAGGAGTTGCTTGTACACCTACTTGGTGAATCCTACAATCGACCGAAATCTTCTTGGCAGTCGCTTTGTTGTTTACGAACCGGATGTCTATTTCGTTACGCGACTTTTTATTGAACAATGTTTAGACTCGTTAAGCCAGCGAAAATATAACTCATAAATTCAAGCCTAGTTCGACAAGGGTGAAAACTGGACTTTCGTAGTCAGTTAACTCCCTTGCCTCGGGAAGATGTTGTATGACTTCCTGTAAACTGCTGTGTGACGTACCGAGACATTTGCCTAGCTTGCCGCCGCCATCTCGAATCTCGTTGTGACTCAAATCAAGGCTTCTTAAAGTTGTATTTTTCTAAAACGAAAGGTGGCAAAGTCAACCATATATAGGACAAGTACTCAGGTATTTCTTCAAAACATAAGTGTGAGCGTTGAAGTGCCGGACTTACTGCGAGTGCTTCGCCAAGCTGCCCGGCATCTCCATCCTTGAATCGGTTGCCTGGAAACCAAAATTCGGTAAAAAATAACTTTGTGAAAATAATTCTCGACAGGAACAAGTGTATAGAGGTTCCCACAGTGGGTGATACATATAACAAATAACACGCTGGTAGTATATTGTGTAAATACAGAGAATACTACACGTGTGTAACATACACTGAATACTACACGTGTGTAACATACACTGACTACTACACGTTTGTAACATACACTTAATACTACACGTTTGTAACATACACTGAATACTACATGTTTGTAACATACACTGAATACTACACGTTTGTAACATACAGAGAATACTACACGTATGTAACATACACTGAATACCACACGTGTGTAACATACACTGAATACTACACGTTTGTAACATACACTGAATACTACACGTTTGTAACATACACTGAATACTACACGTGTGTAACATATACTGAATACTACACGTTTGTAACATACACTGAATACTACACGTTTGTAACATACACTGAATACTACACGTGTGTAACATATACTGAATACTACACGTTTGTAACATACAGAGAATACTACACGTTTGTAACATACACTGACTACTACACATTTGTTACATACACTGAATACTACACGTTTGTAACATACACTGAATACTACACGTTTGTAACATACAGAGAATACTACACATTTGCAACATACACCGAATACTACACGTTTGCAACATACACTGAATACTACACGTTTGTAACATACAGAGAATACTACACGTTTGCAACATACACTGACTACTACACGTTTGTAACATACACTGAATACTACACGTTTGTAACATACACTGAATACTACACGTTTGTAACACACACTGAATACTACATGTTTGTAACATACACTGAATACTACACGTTTGTAACATACACTGAATACTACACGTTTGTAACATACACTGAATACTACACGTTTGTAACATACACTGAATACTTCACGTTTGTAACACACACTGAATACTATACGTTTGTAACATACACTGAATACTTCACGTTTGTAACATACACTGAATACTACACCTTTATAACACACACTATATACTACACGTTTATAACACACACTGAATACTACACGTGTGTAACATACACTGAAAACTACACGTGTGTAACATACACTGACTACTACGTTTGTAACATACACTGAATACTAAACGTTTGTAACATACACTGAATACTACACATTTGTAACATACACTGACTACTACACGTTTATAACACACTATATACTACACGTTTATAACACACACTATATACTACACGTTTATAACACACACTATATACTACACGTTTATAACACACACTATATACTACACGTTTATAACACACACTGAATACTACACGTTTATAACACACACTATATACTACACGTTTATAACACACACTATATACTACACGTTTATAATACACACTATATACTACACGTTTATAACACACACTGAATACTACACGTTTGTAACATACACTGAATACTTCACGTTTGTAACATACACTGAATACTACACGTTTATAACACACACTATATACTACACGTTTATAACACACACTATATACTACACGTTTATAACACACACTATATACTACACGTTTATAACACACACTATATACTACACGTTTATAACACACACTGAATACTACACGTTTGTAACATACACTGACTACTACACGTTTATAACACACACTATATACTACACGTTTTTAACACACACTGAATACTACACGTTTGTAACATACACTGACTACTACACGTTTATAACACACACTATATACTACACGTTTATAACACACACTATATACTACACGTTTATAACACACAGAATACTACACGTTTGTAACATACACTGAATACTTGACGTTTGTAGCATACACTGAATTCTACACGTTTATAACACACACTATATACTACACGTTTACAACACACACTATATACTACACGTTTATAACACTCACTATATACTTCACGTTTATAACACACACTATATACTACACGTTTATAACACACACTATATACTACACGTTTATAACACACACTGAATACTACACGTTTGTAACATACACTGAATACGTCACGTTTGTAACATACACTGAATACTACACGTTTATAAAACACACTATATACTACACGTTTATAACACACACTATATACTACACGTTTATAACACACACTATATACTACACCTTTGTAACATACACTGAATACTACACCTTTGTAACATACACTGAATACTACACGTGTGTAACATACACTGAATACTACACCTTTGTAACATACACTGAATACTATACGTTTGTAACATACACTGAATACTACACGTTTGTAACATACACTGAATACTACACGTTTGTAACACACACTGAATACTACACGTTTGCAACATACACTGAATACTACACGTTTGTAACATACACTGAATACTACACGTTTGTAACATACACTGAATACTACACGTTTGTAACATACACTGAATACTACAACTTTGTTACACACAGAGAATACTTCACGTGGGGAATATTACATGCATGGATAGATGAATTAATGTAATTAATTATCTTTGTTTCATCCTGATATTACTACAGTGATAATATACCAATATATATACGTGGGTAATATACAGACTACTACACGTGGGTAATATACAGACTACTACACATGGGTAACATACAGACTACTACACATGGGTAATATACAGACTACTACACGTGGGTAACATACAGACTACTACACGTTGGTAACATACAGACTACTACACGTGGGTAATATACAGACTACTACACATGGGTAATATACAGACTACTACACATGGGTAATATACAGACTACTACACGTGGGTAACATACAGACTTCTACACGTGGGTAACATACAGACTAGTACACGTGGGTAAGATACAGACTACTACACATGGGTAAGATACAGACTACTACACGTGGGTAACATACAGACTACTACACGTGGGTAACATACAGACTAATACACATGGGTAATATACAGACTAATACACATGGGTAACATACAGACTAATACACATGGGTAATATACAGACTACTACACGTGGGTTACATACAGACTAGTACACATGGGTAACATACAGACTACTACACATGGGTAATATACAGACTACGACACATGGGTAACATACAGACTACTACACGTGGGTAACATATCGACTACGACACATGGGTAACATACAGACTACGACACATGGGTAACATACAGACTTCTACACGTGGGTACTATACAGACTACGACACATGGGTAATATACAGACTACTACACGTGGGTAACATACAGACTACGACACATGGGTAACATACAGACTACTACACTTGGTTAAGATACCCATGTTACATTGTTTGGAGAGGAATTTGTGGAACATACATGTGTCTGCACAGCTCGATCACTCACTCACTCACTCACTCACCGGCAGCCTTTAGAACTTGGAGGGAATCGTTCTCCGCCAACAGACCCGACAACATGGCGGCACCAGGGGAACGCAGATTATTGTTGGACACGTCCTGTGCAACAGCGGCACCAATAGTAACAACAGCAGCACCAATAGTAACAACAGTAACAAAAGTAACAACAGCAACAGCAGCAACAATAGTAACATCAACAACCACAGTAGCAACAATAGTAACATCAACAACAACAGCAGCAACAATAGTAACATCAACAACAACAGAAGCAACAATAGTAACATCAACAACAGCAGCAGCAACTACGTGATAAACATCGCACGTGTTCAAACTAATCGCATTACCCACAACCCGTGGAGGTCCGGTTTAGAATAGGTCTTCAGTAACCCATGCTTGTCGTAATAGGCGACTATTGGGATCCCCGCCATATAGGCGGAATATTGATGAGTGCAGCGTTAAACAACAAACAAACAAACAAACAAACAGAAGTACAGTCCTGCCTGGCTATCTGACAAGTGACGTCACGTTACTTTTGCCACATGGAGGTCACCACTGAAGGTCGCCTGCACACGTGACAAACAACTGCGTGGATCTTGTGTGTGAACTCGTGCTGAAGTATGTGCGTGTAGAAGTGATGTGTATTATTTATTCGCCAGCACGTGTATAATCTTCTGACCAGCACGTGCATTATTGACTCACCAGCACGTGTATTATTGACTCACCAGCACGTGTATAACTAACTCACCAGCACGCGTATAACTAACTCACCAGCACGTGTATTATTGACTCACCAGCACGCGTATAACTAACTCACCAGCACGTGTATAACTAACTCACCAGCACGTGTATTATTGATTCACCAGCACACGTATAACTAACTCACCAGCACACGTATAACTAACTCACCAGCACGTGTATAACTAACCACCAGCATGCGTATAACTAACTCACCAGCACGCGTATAACTAACTCACCAGCACGTGTATTATTGACTCACCAGCACGCGTATAACTAACTCACCAGCACGTGTATTATTGACTCACCAGCACGCGTATTATTGACTCACCAGCACGTGTATAACTAACTCACCAGCACGCGTATAACTAACTCACTAGCACGTGTATTATTGACTCACCAGCACATGTATAACTAACTCACCAGCACGTCTATAACTAACTCACCAGCACGTGTATTATTGACTCACCAGCACGCGTATTATTGACTCACCAGCACGTGTATAACTAACTCACCAGCACGCGTATAACTAACTCACCAGCACGTCTATAACTAACTCACCAGCACGTGTATTATTGAGTTGTGGTGCAGCATGTCGACTACACAACGTAAGCCTGCGTCCCCAATGTCGTTGTTTGCCAGGTGGAGCTCCGTCACCGTCAGCTGTTCCTGCAACACGTGAGACGCTTCAGTCCGTCAGCTGAATGATTACCTCCTACCTTAATTCAGTGAAACCCGTTTACCCAGACTGTAACCGTAAACGAAGCGTGGGCACACACAGTCACGCATAGACGTTGATAATGGAAGAACGGGGTTTCACCATATAAACAATGGGAGGGTGACGTCTTACCACAAGTGATATACAAACTGCCTTGACCGCTCGAACTGTGAGCCCCTGGTGGTTGAGCTTGACGACCTTGCTTCGCACGCATCTTAGGTAGGAGGAGGATGGAACGATGTTTAGTTTCCGACAGGCGGCGAGGTAGACATGGCGACTCTCATCGCCTCCTTCCAAGGACGTCTTCCTTGGCGAAGCTGCGGCATCAAGACATCAACACCAACACGCATTAGTTTCCTCTTTCTCGTTCATTGCAATTAAATGTAGTCAAGCCATTAAAATCAGTTGAGAATTATCAAACGTTGCCGAAAATCTTCCCACTGCACTGCCTACTGGGCGTGAGTCCATGTTTGTGTTGTTTCAATATTCGAATCGACAAGTCCGTGTTTTGACTAAATCTATCTATCAACCAAACTGACGTGCAGAAGAAAGTACACTCCCCTGTTTGATGAAACAAATGGTTTATATTCGACGGTGATGTATTTTATACAGGTATGATAGGCGATATATCAATGAGTAGGCCTCACAACAGGTGACGTGCACATGACGTCTCAATGAACATAAGGGTCGCAAGTTTACAGTACAAAGTACTGAACAGAGTGAAGCAGGTATTTTTAAGGCCCGGCGGTTTCTGTAAAGGCACAGACCGATGGTATATTATATGTCTGTGGTAAAGGTATACGTACGCTTCTCGTCTGGTTCTGAGTCGCTGTAGTCGTCGTCCAGGCAGAATGTCGCCACGCTGTCCCTGTTGATATGGGTCCGGACGTTGTTGTGGCTTTCACATGTCACACCTGTCACGGGGCGATAGGACGTCTTCTCACAACGTCGACCTAGTTTGCCATTCCCAGCAGTACAGGCACGTGACCTATTAACTGACGTAACCCCCGACCTTGCATTGCCCAGCCTGCTGATGGTCTTTGACCTGTCAATAGTTAATCGCCGGAAGTTCTGACGGCCACCAGGTGGCGCACTATGGGTTTGTTGACGGAGCGTTTGCATATTCTCGCCAGATTCTGTCTTCCGGTAGTCCTGAAGCTGGTCCTGGCGGGCAAGGATGCTCTTCCTGGGACAGATGATCTCTAAACTTAGCACACGGATAGCACCCTGCCTGACGACACTATCACTACTATACTGTATGATTTAGAAGGGTTTTTTCCCCCAGCGAACAACTTCACTGTCGCGAACCTGCCAGTTACCAGATAATCCCATGTCTGATCTCGCCTGTATAAAGTGGGGATCTTGACCTAGGAGGTTTGATAGCTGAAGGAGGGGCGTGACTCACTCTGAACCATGTTAATATATACGCTAGTGATATCCTCTGTTGTTTAAGAGCAGACAACACGTTAAGATCCGACGTGTTGCCGTATGTGTACAGTCGATCAGGAATTAGTGTCTTCACTCCTATGATAGGGGTGGCTTGTTGTATCTCTCCCCTCAAACCCCAGAGAACATGAAACCATCCGCACCCCTTCCTATTTTATTACACGGTACGCGTTACTGGCTAAAGGAACTGGGTTAAAGGTGAAGTGATGCACACAGACACACATACACACACAGAGACATACACACACAGATACACACAGAAGGACATACACACACAGATACACACAGATACACACAGGACATACACACACACAGAGACAGACACACACACACACACACACACATGCCTCCCTTACTTATTGACACCCCATGAGATTATATGGTAAACACTGATACTCCCCTAGATCAAACACTTCACAATGGGTTTGTGGACATACATTATGGAGTTTCCCAGTGCGCGCGAGCCAGCGAGACACCCTGGCAGTCGCACGCGCCCAGGGTCACGTTGACACAGCTCGACAATGATGCCATAAAATACTCGTGTCTGATTGACAAGATCACCCAGTTTATTGATATTGAAAAAGGTTTGATCAAGCAGTGTGTTCAGTATGACTGACCCAACGTCCGACCTTTCTTAGGGAGTCTACTCAAGACGTTGCCTACATTCCCAATAGTATCTGCATAAGAGTGTACCCAACTTACCCTCAGGAATGTATACCCACTTCACCCCAGGAGGTCTACTGAAGACTGTTACCCCTCCACTCCATGGAATCTATCCAAGATAGTGCCCCCTCCACTCCAAGGAATCTATCCAAGATACACTCCACTCCAAGGAATCTATCCAAGATAGTGTCCCCTCCGCTCCAAGGAATCTATCCAAGATACACTCCACTCCAAGGAATCTATCCAAGATAGTGTCCCCTCCGCTCCAAGGAATCTATCAAAGATAGTGCCCCCTCCACTCCAAAGAATCTATCCAAGATACACTCCACTCCATGGAATCTATCCAAGATAGCGTCCCCTCCACTCCAAGGAATCTATCCAAGATACACTCCACTCCAAGGAATCTATCAAAGATAGTGCCTCCTCCACTCCAAGGAATCCATCAAAGATACACTCCACTCCAAGGAATCTATCAAAGATAGTGTCCCCTCCACTCCAAGGAATCTATCCAAGATACACTCCACTCCATGGAATCTATCCAAAATAGTTTACCCTTCACTACAAGAAATCTATCCAGTTCCGACTATCGCACAGACTCGCGTCCGTGTCTAGTGACAATAACAGCAGGAATATTAGCCATTGGCGAAGCTGCTCTCTACAACGGAGGGCAATGCAAACCATGAATGGCAAATGTTGTGGAAACGATGTATAAGTATCTGGTGTACATTGAAGCTCGAGGGAAATGCAGTATTATTAGGTACTGATGTATGGGTTTACTGCAGCACTGACCGCATAGGCAGGGTGTAAGGGACACAGGTATAAGGTACTCACCGTAATTCTAGATCGCTCAAGTCAAGTGGGGCCTCCATGTTTCTGTTGGGTTCTCGGGAGGTGACAGTCTGAGCTGAGGGGACGCTATGTGGTGAGGGGACGTCCTGTGACCAGGTGACGCTCTGGGATGAGAGGACCTGTGATCAAGATAGGCTGCCACTACACAGACCCAGTGACAGAACACAAGATGGCAGAACAATCCTTGACAAGTTTCTCCTTGCAACCTACAGTCCATTTGTGGCTTGTTGGGACGTACTCTGTCTGCTCTCACCGGCACTGGCCTAATGCACCGTGTTGTCGTCTGCTGCACATTGTATTGTTAGGTTGTCACTGACATCACCACACTGTGAAGTGCAGGAGTCACACTTGTTGCGAGACCGGGATCCCGTCTATGGGTTCTCCTCTGCAACCAGGTTGGTCTCCTGGTGACACAGTAGCACCAAGGGTTCTCCGGCGATCTATCTCGCCTCCAGCACAGGCACTGTTAAGCTCATACTCCAACTGCAGTCTCCGAACTTGAGAGAGTGCAAGTAGTGTGGGTGATCTGCTGGTCGTGTCTAGGAGACGCTCACACACAGGCAACATGAGCGGGGTGGGGGAGAGTGGGGGAGGGGCGTTGAGATCTCTAACGCCTCTCCACAACCACTCACATACTCTCTCGGCTTGAAAGAATTAATTTCTGCAATGTCACACCCCATTAGCAGGACGTTGTCGGTCCTCGATTCCCCCTCGTACTTGACTCTGAGAGACGAGGATTATAGCACTGAGCCGTGGCGGCGGTGCAGGGTGCATTTAAGTCAACATATCTACAGATTCCACAGACGATTTTGTCCATGTACTGTCGTCAGACTTTTCACAAAACTCAGGCCTACCCTGGACAAAGGCGTGTCCTAAACACCGAAATAGAGAAATATACACCAAGGTCGCTCGCATTCAGTTCTACTCACTGTCTTCAACCACATTTCGTAGTACTCGCCTACACTCACCTGGAGTCTCTGTCTGGCCGTAGCGTGCAGGGTATCTGAGGAGGAGACAAAGGTTTGAATCGGGGTTGCTCGAAGGATTGCCCCCTCTGTCCAAGGTACACGTACGACAATAAATTGATTCGATACCTTATTGCGAGAAACGCTTTGTGCAAATGAGACATGGGATTGATTTGTGACGTCATAAACGCCTGACGTCACAGGCTGATCTATGATGCGACACTATGTTGCCAACATCAAGCATAACAGGGTCACGCGAGAGCAGACTGGACGTGATAAATATGTGAGTGCATAATGTATTGAAGAAAGGTATTATATTTTTGAAGGTTTAGCAATTGAATCTCAAAAATGTAATATACTTAGAAGAGATCTATCCAGCTTCCATGTTTGGATCCCCCCTTTTTTCCTGTCTGACCTTAAACATGTATAGATGTCGGTAACTTGGACCCAATACGACAGTCGGATCGCTAAGGAAAAGCGTATTTCAACGCCCGAAAGATTTCATATGTGTAACTTTACAGCATCGAGTATGAACAAATAAGCATTTATAGTTTGGTGGGTGTGCTGTGGTTCCTGGAAACTCAGTGTTTGTGTATGATATTGAGTATCGAGCCCTGAGGTCATATATCGATGTCGATCCTATTATAGTCTCTGATGGTCCATATCGTATCGCGACCTTTCTATCGATATGTTTATCCCATCGTCACCCAGTGTATCGATGCTGGCCGATATCATGCTGTGAAGCCCACACACACGAGTTGATGATCCCTCGTCACACAGTGTATCGATGCTGGCCGATATCATGCTGTGAAGCCCACACACACGAGTTGATGATGCCTCGTCACACAGATCAGCCTCACCTCACACCCAGGGCGTCTAGCACTGGATTGTGGGGATCACCAAGGTCGATATCACGGGGTATTAACGCCGGGTAGTTAGGGGTAGGTACAAAGGGGGTGGGACAGACGTGATGAGCGGTGTAACGCGAGCACCGACAATAACAACCCATGTGATCTAAGCTTTGACTGTAATCGCCTTGACTCGGGATAAACTATCAAACAGACACAGATCAAACAATGGATGGCCAGGTCCGTACAGCTTACATCCAGTGATGCAGACAGTGTTAGGAAATTGTTGGATTATCCTGCCGATGGCGAGATCAGTGCGCTGTTTATATTGATATCCACTATTCCAACGATGAGTTATATATTTCCTTCTACAGGAGGTCACTGACAGCCTCCCTCAGTCCGAGTTGGCCACTTGGGGAGTGTGTAGCCCACTAGTTAGAGCGTCCGTTCGTCACGCCGACTGCATGGGTTTCATTGCCTGCGATGAGTGAAACCCATTTCTGGTGTTCCACACAGTGATATTTGCCGAATATTGCTAAAAGCGGAGTAAAACCCCTCTCTCTCTCTCTCTCTCTCTCTCTCTCTCTCTCTCTCTCTCTCTCACTCACTCACTCACTCACTCACTCACTACTCACTCACTCACTCACTCACTCACTCACTCACTCACTCACTCACTCACTCACTCCGCTAGGAATACCAAGCATACCTGTATGTTCATACACCCGTCGGAAACCCGTGTTTTGTTTGTAACGAGCGAACACACTTACCACAGGGCTACAGTCTGTTTTGGGGGATGTTAAAGTACTGTATTACAAAGGCCAAGTTGCTCAGTCGTATAAAACGTTGCCCACAAACAGCCGAGACACACATACCGCCAGCATCAAGCTTCAGTGTACCTATGTTCGTATTGTGATGTATACGAATTACTAGCACTGACAAAGGCTTGCGGGTTAGCTGCACCATGAGACCGGGGCGTCGGACACATCAAGTACTGTAACTCCACGCTGGCACTTGTTACTCGTATTTAACTTGTCGTCCCAGCTGTAGGAGACCTGATCCTGTGACGTCCCGGCTGAGTGGGACGAACACAAATGTAGAACACAGATAATTGATCAAAACAGTAACCTGATAGCTGAATCAAATGTGTTGACACTGGAATACCCTGCAGACATATTCTTCTCAGAGACGATTCAGAGCAAGCCCAAACTATAACGGCAAATACGTGAAGTGAGGTGAGTTGAAATGGGGTTTAACGTCGCGTCCAAGATTATTGCACTTATATAGCGACGTGCATGCACGTGTATGTGTGTGTGTGGCTGCTTGTGCTAGTCCGGACTGATGCCGATTTATAGTGCTAGCACACTGAGATACCATGCCGCAGTTTAACATGAATACCCCACTCAGACACAGTATACTGACTCCGAGCCGACCAGTCCTTGTTTTTGCCCCTTAATGCCGAGCGCCAGACAGGGTAACAACAAGTACCATCTTTTAACGTCTTTTGGTATGACGCGGCTGGGGATCGAACCCCGGACCTTCCGCTCTACGGGCGGACGCTCTACCACTAGACCACGGAGGCGGTCTGACAAATACGTCAGAGAGGTATTAAAGAACGGAATATTTACTTACTTAACTTTGGAATTTAACGTGCATATGCGTATTTCCCGCACGGGCCCGTTTGGTTGAAAAGGGTATGTCCGAAAATGTGAGGCAAACTAGGGGGGGGGGGGGGGGGGCTGTTTTAGGCCCTGGTGCTTTAAAGGTTTGTAAGTCATTCAGGGAGTTTAGTAGCGTTGCTCGCGTCATTTGATTGTTGCAGCTTTGTGCGGATTGGAGTGTTGTTCTGTGGTGTTGGTCATGTGTGCAATATAGTATTACGTGTTCAGGAGTTTCTTTTAAATTGCAGCGGGGGTATTCACCGGTTTGGTTGTTTTTTTAATTTGATGTTGGTGGGAGTTTAACTTAGTGTGGCCTGTTTGTAGTTAGTTATTACTCTGTCAATTTTTTAGGGTTTATGATGGATTTTTGGTTTTTTTTAGTTGCTTTTGTAGCAGGTGTTTTCGTTTGCAGTCAGATTTCTGATAGTGAAGTTGCTACTTTTGGAAGATTTTCTCCTTGGTGATACTTTTAATTTCGTTTGTTGATATTGCTAGGTTGATGCTTGCTTCTTCTAATTTTAGTGCTGATTTGTCTGCTTTGTCTGCGTGTTCGTTGCCAAACACTCCAACATGGGCAGGGATCCAAACTATTTCTATGTCTTCACCTCGTTTACGTAGATTGTTGGCGCTTTTAATTATCTGTTGTATTAGCTTTGGGCGTTTTGTTTTGTGTTTTTGTTTTTTTATGGCCCAGGGCCCACTTAATGTGTCTGAAAGGATTAGGATTTTTGGGTGTCCATTTAATTGATCGCTGTGCAGGGCTGTTACTATCCCCATTTATTCGGCTGTGAAAATTGATTGATTATTTGAATGGGCAGCCACCGTGCCTCTGTACACCCGGGTAGTTGATATGCCCCTGTATATCCGGGTAGTTGAAATGCCCTTGTATATCCGGGTAGTTGATATGCTCTGTATATCCGGATAGTTGATATGCCCATTTGTACCCGGGTAGTTGAGATGCCCCTGTATATCCGGGTAGTTGATATGCTCTGTACACCCGGGTAGTTGAGATGCCCCTGTATATCCGGGTAGTTGATATGCCCCCGTATATCCGGGTAGTTGATATGCCCCGTATATCCGGGTAGTTGATATGCCCCGTATATCCGATTAGTTAATATGCCCATATATACCCGGGTAGTTGATATACCCCTGTATACCCGGGAAGTTGATATGCCCGTGTATACCCGGGTAGTTGATATGCCCCTGTATATCCGGGTAGTTCATATGCCCCTGTATATCCGGGAAGTTGATATGCCCATGTATGTACGGGTAGCTGATATGCCCATGTATACCCGGGTAGTTGATATACCCCTGTATACCCGGGAAGTTGATATGCCCCGTATATCCGATTAGTTAATATGCCCGTGTATACCCGGGTACTTGATATGCCCATGTATACCCGGGTAGTTGATATGCCCATGTATATCCGGGTACTTGATATGCCCATGTAAACCGTCATACAGTCATCTATCTTACTGACACCGTCATACAGTCATCTGTCTCCATGACACCGTCATACAGTCATCTATTTTAGTGACACCGTCATACAGTCATCTATCTTAGTGACAGCGTCATATAGAGTCATCTATCTCCGTGACACCGTCATATAGCCATCTATCTCCGTGACACCGTCATACAGTCATCTATCTTAGTGACACCGCCATACAGTCATCTGTCTCCGTGACACCGTCATACAGTCATCTATCTTAGTGACACCGTCATATAGTCATCTATCTCCGTGACACCGTCATACAGTTATCTGTCTCCGTGACACCGTCATACAGTTATCTATCTTAGTGACACCGCCATATAGATTCATCTATCTCCGTGACACCGTCATATAGCCATCTATCTTAGTGACACCGTCATACAGTCATCTATTTCCGTGACACCGTCATACAGTCATCTATTTCCGTGACACCGTCATACAGTCATCTGTCTTAGTGACACCGCCATACAGTCATCTATCTTAGTGACACCGTCATACAGTCATCTATCTTAGTGGCACCGTCATACAGTCATCTATTTCCGTGACACCGTCATACAGTCATCTATCTTAGTGACACCGCCATACAGTCATCTATCTTAGTGCCACCGTCATACAGTCATCTATCTTAGTGACACCGTCATACAGTCATCTACCTTAGTGACACCGTCATACAGTCATCTACCTTAGTGACACCGTCATACAGTCATCTGTCTCCGTGACACCGTCATACAATCATCTGTCTCCGTGACACCGTCATACAGTCATCTATCTAAGTGACACCGTCATACAGTCATCTATCTCCGCGACACCGTCATACACTCATCTGTCTCAGTGACACCGTCATACACTCATCTATCTTAGTGACACCGTCATACAGTCATCTATTTCCGTGACGCCGTCACACAGTCATCTATTTCCGTGACACCGTCATACAGTCATCTATCTTAGTGACACCGCCATACAGTCATCTGTCTTAGTGACATCGTCATACAGTTATCTGTCTCCTTGACACCGTCATAAAGTTATCTATCTTAGTGACACCGTCATAGAGTCATCTATCTTAGTGACACCGTTATACAGTCATCTACCTTAGTGACACCGTCATACAGTCATCTACCTTAGTGACACCGTCATACAGTCATCTACCTTAGTGACACCGTCATACAGTCATCTATCTTAGTGACACCGTCATACAGTCATCTATTTCCGTGACACCGCCATACAGTCATCTGTCTCCGTGACATCGTCATACAGTTATCTGTCTCCGTGACACCGTCATACAGTCATCTTTCTTAGTGGCACCATCATACAGTCATCTACCTTAGTGACACCATCATACACTCATCTATCTTAGTGACACCGTCATACAGTCATCTATCTTAGTGACACCGTCATACAGTCATCTATTTCCGTGACGCCGTCATACAGTCATCTGTCTCCGTGACACCGTCATACAGTCATCTATCTTAGTGACACCGTCATAAAGAGTCATCTATCTCCGTGAAACCGCCATACAGTCATCTATCTTAGTGACACCGTCATACAGTCATCTATCTCCGTGACACCGTCATACAGTCAGCTATCTCCGTGATACCGTCATACAGTCATCTATCTCCGTGATACCGTCATACAGTCATCTATCTTAGTGACACCGTCATACAGTCATCTATCTTAGTGACACCGTCATACAGTCATCTATCTTAGTGACACCGTCATACAGTCATCTATCTCCGTGACACTGTCATACAGTCATCTGTCTTAGTGACACCGTCATACAGTCATCTATCTCAGTGACACCGTCATACAGTCATCAGTCTCCGTGACACCGTCATACAGTCATCTATCTTAGTGACACCATCATATAGAGTCATCTATCTCCGTGACACCGCCATACAGTCATCTATCTTAGTGACACCGTCATACAGTCATCTATCTCCGTGACACCGTCATACAGTCATCTATCTCCGTGAAACCGTCATACAGTCATCTATCTCCGTGATACCGTCATACAGTTATCTATCTTAGTGACACCGTCATACAGTCATCTATCTCCGTGACACCGTCATACAGTCAGCTATCTCCGTGATACCGTCATACAGTCATCTATCTCCGTGATACAGTCATACAGTTATCTATCTTAGTGACACCGTCATATAGAGTCATCTATCTCCGTGACACCGTCATACAGTCATCTATTTCCGTGACGCCGTCATACAGTCATCTGTCTCCGTGACACCGTCATACAGTCATCTATCTTAGTGACACCGTCATATAGAGTCATCTATCTCCGTGACACCGCCATACAGTCATCTATCTTAGTGACACCGTCATACAGTCATCTATCTCCGTGACACCGTCATACAGTCATCTATTTTAGTGACACCATCATACAGTCATCTATCTTAGTGACAGCGTCATATAGAGTCATCTATCTCCGTGACACCGTCATATAGCCATCTATCTCCGTGACACCGTCATACAGTCATCTATCTTAGTGACACCGCCATACAGTCATCTGTCTCCGTGACACCGTCATACAGTTTTCTATCTTAGTGACACCGTCATATATAGTCATCTATCTCCGCGACACCGTCGTATAGCCATCTATCTATTAGTGACATCGTCATACAGTCATCTGTCTCAATGACACCGTCATACACTCATCTATCTTAGTGACACCGTCATACAGTCATCTATCTTAGTGACACCGTCATACAGTCATCTATCTTAGTGACACCGTCATACAGTCATCTATTTCCGTGACACCGTCATGCAGTCATCTATTTCCGTGACACCGTCATACAGTCATCTGTCTCCATGACACCGTCATACAGTCATCTATCTTAGTGACACCGCCATATAGTCATCTATCTCCGTGACACCGTCATATAGCCATCTATCTTAGTGACAGTCATACAGTCATCTATCTTAGTGACACCGTCATACAGTAATCTGTTTCCGTGACACCGTCATACAGTCATCTATCTTAGTGACATCGTCATACAGTCATCTATCTTAGTGACACCGTCATACAGTCATCTATCTTAGTGACACCGTCATATAGTCATCTATCTCCGTGACACCGTAATACAGTTATCTGTCTCCGTGACACCGTCATACAGTTATCTATCTTAGTGACACCGTCATGTAGAGTCATCTATCTCCGTAACACCGTCATACAGTCATCTATCTCCGTGACACCGTCATACAATCATCTGTCTTAGTGACACCGTCATACAGTCATCTGTCTCCGTGACACCGTCATACAGTTATCTATCTTAGTGACACCGTCATATAGAGTCATCTATCTTAGTGACACCGTCATATAGCCATCTATCTCCGTGACACCGTCATACAGTCATCTATCTCCGTGATACCGTCATACAGTTATCTATCTTAGTGACACCGTCATATAGAGTCATCTATCTCCGTGACACCGTCATATAGCCATCTATCTCCGTGACACCGCCATACAGTCATCTGTCTCCGTGACACCGTCATACAGTCATCTATCTTAGTGACACCGTCATATAGAGTCATCTATCTCCGTGACACCGTCATATAGCCATCTATCTCCGTGATACCGTCATACAGTCATCTATCTTAGTGACACCGTCATATAGAGTCATCTATCTCCGTGACACCGTCATATAGCCATCTATCTCCGTGATACCGTCATACAGTCATCTATCTTAGTGACACCGTCATATAGAGTCATCTATCTCCGTGACACCGGCATACAGTGTAGTGTGGTCAACTCGTCGACCCGCGGGCTGTGGTGTGTCTCTCAAGAACCGTGCAGGTGTTATATTCAACATGGGTGTCGATCCGCCCGTCTCTAGACACTCGTCAGCACGCAACACCGGGGTACCTGCTGCGGGCTGTGGTGTGTGAGGCGTTGTGGAACCGCCTGCAGCCGCGGTGTGGTTCTCAGTGGAGCCACCAGTTGTTGTGGTATGTGTCGCGGCAGCGCTCTCTTGTCAGGATGGGCCTGCATGTTCGGGCTGTGAAGTGTCGCCCGTCTGCCGGAGTTGTCATCGTGTGACACCGCACGCGCCCCTCGTCTCGGGTAGCAGTCCTCTGAAAGTATCGTCACCTGATCTCAGGTGGAGGTAGGCTGTTTCACTATCATACATGGGTCATGTGACACTTTTACACACTATCCACTTTCACTATTCCGTGTCAACGTCAGAGCAGTGCACATTTCAGAGTTCATCCAACAATCTAATAAGGTGTACTTATTCACACCAGATGCCAATTTCAAGTTCAAACCATGATGGCCAATGTTTGTATGTTGTACTTTCGGAAGCAGTATACATTTGTATTTACATCAGCAAAACATGAATGGGTATGTGTTTATTTAGTAGCATGTTTGTTTAAGTCTAGCAGAGACCGTATTCCCTAATCTCTGCCAAAGTGTACCTCTTGTTGGTGGTCAATATGAGGTATGGACAGTTGTAAAAGTTGGAGACACATTTTTTCCGGAAACTCCAGGACAGCCCAAAGAAGCCAGGTTTCCCGTTATATGCTTCACTCACAAGACATTTCAGGTGTGAGTTATCCCGTTCAGTTTTTGTTCCCGTGGCGTGTGGGGACACACCGTGCAGGCGCTTGTCTGTGTGTAACGCGATACCCCCTGTTGTGTGGACCGGCCTAAGACGGCGCTAGATGCTATCTCCCTACATTCACGAGCACCGCACCTGATCCGGACAACGCGCTCGAATCTAATAATACATAATACAATAACCGATCGACCCTGTTGACAAATTACATTGAATCCCTCGGCAACACGGCAACATATATCCCCGCTGAGCCCTATAAACGTTACATTAAAGTAACGGACTTAACTGGCATCAAGATTTCCAATCAAATTCAAAGACAGGACTTATCTACGATACTATCTACAGTACTATATATTATACCATCTACTGCACTATCTTCTTACCATCTACTGATCTATCTACTTACTATCTACTGCACTATCTACTTACTATCTACTGCACTATCTACTTACTATCTACTGCACTATCTACTTACTATCTACTGCACTATCTACTTACTATCTACTGCACTATCTACTTACTATCTACTGCACTATCTACTTACTATATACCATACCATCTACTGTAAAGTAAAGCAGAGACTCTGAGAGAGTCTCTGATTAAAGTAATGGATCTAACTGGCAACAAGATTACCAATCAAATTCAAAGACTACACTATCTACTTTGCTTTCTACTGAACTATCTACTGTACCCTCTACTGTACTATCTGCTAAAGTATTATCTACAACTAGTATAGTAGATAGTACAGTAAATAGTAACCAGTGCAGCTATCTTCATATGAAAAAGCCCATTTCTGGTGTCCCCCGCCGTGATATTGCTGGAATATTGCTAAAAGCGGCGTAAAACCATACTCACTCACTCACTCATATGAAGACACGAGGTCACTGCATGGCCCATTCATACTAGGTCGAGGTGAAATGGGGTTTATAGTCGCGGTCATGATTATTGCACCTATATAGCGACGTGCATGCACGTGTGAGTGTGGCTGTTTGTACTTGTCCGGACCAATGTCGATTTTATACTGCTAGCCCAGTGAGCCCTTAAACACTGAGCGCCAGACAGGGTAACAACAAGTACCATCTTTTAACGTCGTCTTTTCGTACACTGGGGATCGAACCCCAGACCTTCCGATATCCGGTGGACACTCTACCTCTAGACTAAGCAGGCGCTCCATTCATACAAGGACATAAGGTCTTTAACGGACCGCGTATGCTGTCCATTAGGTCTTGTACCGACCGAGTATGCTGTCTATTGGGTCCTGTACCGACCGAGTATGCTGTCCATTAGGTCCTGTACCGACCGAGTATGCTGTCCATTAGGTCCTGTACCGACTGAGTATGCTGTCTATTGGGTCCTGTACCGACTGAGTATGCTGTCTATTGGGTCCTGTACCGACCGAGTATGCTGTCCATTAGGTCTTGTACCGACCGAGTATGCTGTCCATTAGGTCCTGTACCGACCGAGTATGCTGTCTATTGGGTCCTGTACCGACCGAGTATGCTGTCCATTAGGTCTTGTACCGACCCTGTATGCTGTCCATTAGGTCTTGTACCGACCGAGTATGCTGTCTATTAGGTCCTGTACCGACCGAGTATGCTGTCTATTGGGTCCTGTACCGACCGAGTATGCTGTCCATTAGGTCTTGTACCGACCGAGTATGCTGTCCATTAGGTCCTGTACCGACCGAGTATGCTGTCCATTAGGTCCTGTACCGACTGAGTATGCTGTCTATTGGGTCCTGTACCGACTGAGTATGCTGTCTATTGGGTCCTGTACCGACCGAGTATGCTGTCCATTAGGTCTTGTACCGACCGAGTATGCTGTCCATTAGGTCTTGTACCGACCGAGTATGCTGTCCATTAGGTCTTGTACCGACTGAGTATGCTGTCCATTAGGTCCTGTACCGACTGAGTATGCTGTCTATTGGGTCCTGTACCGACTGAGTATGCTGTCTATTGGGTCTTGTACCGACCGAGTATGCTGTCTATTGGGTCCTGTACCGACCGAGTATGCTGTCCATTAGGTCCTGTACCGACTGAGTATGCTGTCCATTAGGTCTTGTACCGACCGCGTATGCAATCCATTGGGTCTTGTTCCGACCGAGTATGCTGCCCATTGTGTCTTGCACCGACCAAGTATGCTATCCATTAGGTCTTGTACCGACCGAGTATGCTGTCCATTAGGTCTTGTACCGACTAAGTATGCTGTCCATTAGGTCCTGTACCGACCGAGTATGCTGTCCATTAGGTCCTGTACCGACCGAGTATGCTGTCCATTGGGTCTTGTTCCGACCGAGTATGCTGTCAATTGGGTCTTGTACCGACCGAGTATACTGTCCATTGGGTCTTGTACGGACCGAATATGCCGTCTATTAGGTCTTGTACCGACCGAGTATGCTGTCTATTGGGTCCTGTACCGACCGAGTATGCTGTCCATTAGGTCTTGTTCCGACCGAGTATGCTGTCTATTAGGTCCTGTACCGACTGAGTATGCTGTCTATTGGGTCCTGTACCGACCGAGTATGCTGTCTATTGGGTCCTGTACCGACTGAGTATGCTGTCCATTAGGTCTTGTATCGACCGAGTATGCTGTCCATTAGGTCCTGTACCGACCGAGTATGCTGTCTATTGGGTCCTGTACCGACTGAGTATGCTGTCCATTAGGTCCTGTACCGACCGCGTATGCTGTCCATTAGGTCTTGTTCCGACCCTGTATGCTGTCTATTGGGTCCTGTACCGACTGAGTATGCTGTCCATTAGGTCCTGTACCGACCGCGTATGCTGTCTATTGGGTCCTGTACCGACCCTGTATGCTGTCTACTGGGTCCTGTACCGACCGAGTATGCTGTCCATTAGGTCTTGTTCCGACCGCGTATGCTGTCCATTAGGTCTTGTTCCGACCGCGTATGCTGTCTATTAGGTCCTGTACCGACCGCGTATGCTGTCCATTAGGTCTTGTACCGACTGAGTATGCTGTCCATTAGGTCTTGTTCCGACCGAGTATGCTGTCCATTAGGTCTTGTTCCGACCGAGTATGCTGTCCATAAGGTCTTGTACCAACGAGTATGCTGTCCATTAGGTCTTGTTCCGACCGAGTATGCTGTCCATAAGGTCTTGTTCCGACCGATTATGCTGTCTATTGGGTTCTGTACCTACCGAGTATGCTGTCTATTGGGTCCTGTACCGACCGAGTATGCTGTCCATTAGGTCTTGTTCCGACCGAGTATGCTGTCTATTTGGTCCTGTACCGACCGAGTATGCTGTCCATAAGGTCTTGTTCCGACCGATTATGCTGTCTATTGGGTTCTGTACCTACCGAGTATGCTGTCTATTGGGTCCTGTACCGACCGAGTATGCTGTCCATTGGGTCCTGTACCGACTGAGTATGCTGTCCATTAGGTCCTGTACCGACCGAGTATGCTTTCCATTAGGTCTTGTTCCGACGGCGTATGCTGTCTATGGGGTTCTGTACCGACCGAGTATGCTGTCCATTGGGTCCTGTACCGACCGAGTATGCTGTCCATTGGGTCTTGTACCGACCGCGTATGCTGTCTATAAGGTCCTGTACCGACCGAGTATGCTGTCTATTGGGTCTTGTTCCGACCGAGTATGCTGTCCATTAGGTCCTGTACCGACCGAGTATGCTGTCCATTAGGTCCTGTACCGACCGAGTATGCTGTCCATTAGGTCCTGTACCGACCGAGTATGCTGTCCATTAGGTCTTGTACCGACCGAGTATGCTGTCCATTAGGTCTTGTTCCGACCGAGTATGCTGTCTATTGGGTTCTGTACCGACCGAGTATGCTGTCCATTGGGTCCTGTACCGACCGAGTATGCTGTCCATTAGGTCTTGTTCCGACCGAGTATGCTGTCTATTGGGTTCTGTACCGACCGAGTATGCTGTCCATTGGGTCCTGTACCGACCGAGTATGCTGTCCATTAGGTCTTGTTCCGACCGAGTATGCTGTCTATTGGGTTCTGTACCGACCGAGTATGCTGTCCATTAGGTCCTGTACCGACCGAGTATGCTGTCTATTGGGTCCTGTACCGACCGAGTATGCTGTCCATTGGGTCCTGTACCGACCGAGTATGCTGTCCATTAGGTCTTGTTCCGACCGAGTATGCTGTCTATTGGGTTCTGTACCGACCGAGTATGCTGTCCATTAGGTCCTGTACCGACCGAGTATGCTGTCTATTGGGTCCTGTACCGACCGAGTATGCTGTCCATTAGGTCTTGTACCGAAAGAGTATCCTGTCTATTGGGTCTTGTACCGAAAGAGTATGCTGTCTTTTGGGTCTTGTACCAACCGAGTATCCTGTCCATTAGGTCCTGTACCGACTGAGTATGCTGGCCATTAGGTCCTGTACCGACCGAGTATGCTGCCCATTGTGTCTTGCACCGACCAAGTATGCTATCCATTAGGTCTTGTACCGACCGAGTATGCTATCCATTAGGTCTTGTACCGACCGAGTATGCTGTCCATTAGGTCTTGTACCGACCGAGTATGCTGTCCATTAGGTCTTGTACCGACCGAGTATGCTATCCATTAGGTCTTGTACCGACCGAGTATGCTATCCATTAGGTCTTGTACCGACCGAGTATGCTATCCATTAGGTCTTGTACCGACCGAGTATGCTGTCCATTAGGTCTTGTACCGACCGAGTATGCTATCCATTAGGTCTTGTACCGACCGAGTATGCTATCCATTAGGTCCTGTACCGACCGAGTATGCTGTCCATTAGGTCTTGTACCGACCGAGTATGCTGTCTATTGGGTCCTGTACCGACCGAGTATGCTGTCCATTAGGTCTTGTACCGACCGGGTATGCTGTCCATTAGGTCCTGTACCGACCGGGTATGCTGTCTATTAGGTCCTGTACCGACTGAGTATCCTGTCCATTAGGTCTTGTACCGACCGGGTATGCTGTCCATTAGGTCCTGTACCGACCGGGTATGCTGTCTATTAGGTCTTGTACCGACTGAGTATCCTGTCCATTAGGTCCTGTACCGACTGAGTATGCTGTCTATTAGGTCTTGTACCGACTGAGTATGCTGTCTATTAGGTCTTGTACCGACCGAGTATGCTGTCCATTGGGTCCTGTACCGACCGAGTATGCTGTCCATTCTGTCCTGTACCGACCAAGTATGCTGTCTATTGGGTCCTGTACCGACCGAGTATGCTGTCCATTAGGTCTTGTACCGACTGAGTATGCTGTCTATTAGGTCCTGTACCTACCGAGTATGCTGTCCATTAGGTCTTGTACCAACCGAGTATGCTGTCCATTAGGTCTTGTACCGACCCTGTATGCTGTCCATTAGGTCCTGTACCGACCGAGTATGCTATCTATTAGGTCCTGTACCGACTGAGTATGCTGTCCATTAGGTCTTGTACCGACTGAGTATGCTGTCCATTAGGTCTTGTACCGACCGAGTATGCTGTCTATTAGGTCTTGTACCGACTGAGTATGCTGTCTATTTGGTCTTCTACCGACCGAGTATGCTGTCAATTGGGTCTTGTACCGACTGAGTATGCTGTCCATTGGGTCCTGTACCGACCAAGTATGCTGTCCATTAGGTCCTGTACCGACTGAGTATGCTGTCCATTGGGTCCTGTACCGACCAAGTATGCTGTCCATTAGGTCCTGTACCGACTGAGTATGCTGTCCATTGGGTCTTGTTCCGACCGCGTATGCAATCCATTGGGTCTTGTACCGACCAAGTATGCTGTCCATTAGGTCCTGTACCGACTGAGTATGCTGTCCATTAGGTCCTGTATCGACCGAGTATGCTGTCCATTAGGTCCTGTACCGACCGAGTATGCTGTCTATTAGGTCTTGTACCGACCGAGTATGCTGTCTATTAGGTCTTGTACCGACCGAGTATGCTGTCTATTAGGTCTTGTACCGACCGAGTATGCTGTCTATTAGGTTCTGTCCCGACCGAGTATGCTGTCTTTTGGGACTTGTACCAACTGAGTATCCTGTTTATTGGGTCTTGTACTGACCGAGTATGCTGTCTATTTGGTCCTGTACTGACCGAGTGTGCTGTCTATTGGGTCCTGTACCGACCGAGTATGCTGTCTATTGGGTCCTGTACCGACCGAGTATGCTGTCTATTGGGTCCTGTACCGACCGAGTATGCTGTCTATTGGGAATTGTACCAACTGAGTATGCTGTCTATTAGGACTTGTACCGACTGAGTATGCTGTCCATTGGGTCCTGTACCGACCGAGTATGCTGTCTATTGGGTCCTGTACCGACCGAGTATGCTGTCTATTGGGTCCTGTACCGACCGAGTATGCTGTCTATTGGGTCCTGTACCGACCGAGTATGCTGTCTATTGGGTCCTGTACCGACCGAGTATGCTGTCTATTGGGAATTGTACCAACTGAGTATCCTGTCTATTAGGACTTGTACCGACTGAGTATCCTGTCCATTTGGGTCTTTTACCGACTCAATCTTCTTTTGACTTGATATTCTGCACATTCTAAAGTTGAGGTTCGTTTTGAATTTTTTGGATCCATCCTTGTTGAGGCACTGAAATAGATGTTTATCTTTTTAAATACTATAACAACAATGCACAATTCCACTTATTTCCATGCACAGACTCTGCTGTAATACATGTGTTGTCCTGCAGGTAATTCTACCTTGATGGACATCCAGACCCGCCTCCAGCGTAAGAACCACCAGGCGACGTTGCAAGCCCGGCGCATGAACAACACGGCTCGTCGTCTGCTGCAGGACAGGATTGGCGTCCTCGAGTCGTGCTACAGAAAGCAAGAGAAGCTCTTGGGTCGCGAGGCCAAGTCACTGGAGCAGGAGTTGCGGTCCTCCACCGAAAATGGCATTACTCCAACATCTGTACAAAACCCTGCGACTGTGCGTACTTTAAACCTGTCTCCTCGCCCGAGTGAACTGTCAAACGTCCGGTCTGACACTTCGGGTCGTGGCTCGCAATGTAGATTCCATGTGATGCCCTCCCAGTGTCGGTACTTTCCATGTCAACGCCTGTCCACTTACCACAGCATCGGCTACAACATCCGGGCACCTAGCGGACTGTCCGTGGACCCCAGTACGTCCAAGGCGTATACCGTCAACGACGGAGCTGCGTTCGACGCAAATGAAGTCGTATCCAACAGAGACACTGACAGTCTGGCCCCTTCGGCTCACGTATCACCCAGGAACAGCATACAGGATCGGGAACGAGGCTTGCGGCAATTAGTTAAAGAGATGAAACAGCGCAACAACCAGCAACGTCCCAGCGCGTGGGCCGTCAACTACGGCAATCCAATGTCTAGCCGGCAGCTGCTCAAACCTGTGGTGCCAGTGTCAGACCGGGAATTGGCGCCATAGGCTGTATATATATATATATGCTTGTCATCACAAAACATTTTTTAAATTCCATGGATATCACAAATATACTAAGAATATCAATTAAGTACTACCTCGTTGTTCCTTTTTCGGATAACTTGCAGCCATGTCAGTGAAAACACTGAGTGGATGTGCAGCAAGCTTTAAGGAGGCGTTATGACTATCGTTGCTCCCACTCTTCAAGGTAGACTTGAAGTAGTCCTAGCTCGCTGACTTGTTTGAAGCATGTCATCATATCCCAATTGCGTTTATCGATGCTCGTGGTGTTAATCACTGGGTTGTCTGGTCCAGACTCGACTATTTACAGACCGCCGTCATATAGCTTGAATATTGCTGAGTGCGGCATAAAACAACAAACAAACAAATAAAACTCATTACATTACTCGCCCGGAGGCACAGGTGGACCCGTCGCCTAAGGTGCCACAATTCGCTATGCAGTGTTGATTCCCTTGGCCACAACAGAACCCTGTGATTATGGGCTGGAATCCCGAAGGTTTCAAGGTCTGTCTGCTCCATACCTATGGTCTCCGGTTTCACCCAAGTGGTAAACGTCTGAGACCTGCATCACTTCGGCCTTTCTTCATAATATGTGAAGCCCATTCCTGGTGATCCCTGCCGTGATATTGCTGCAATATTGCTAAACGTGGCGTAAAACCATACTCACTCACTTTCCACGCCATGATATAACTGGAATACTGTTGAAAGACACGTTTAACCAAACTCACTCACTTACTCAATACCCCATCCATGTACTTTGTCAAATAAGTTCATTTCAAATTGAAATCGAAACAGCTGCCTACGTAGGGTTGTAACCTACGATTGTCAGATTGAAGGAGATTACAATCATACTTGTGCTTCGGTGTATTGTACGTATGTTATACACCATGCCAGTGTCTTGTACGTATGTTATACACCATGCCAGTGTCTTGTACGTATGTTATACACCATGCCAGTGTCTTGGGTAGGTATGTTATACACCATGCCAGTGTCTTGTACGTATGTTATACACCATGCCAGTGTCTTGGGTAGGTATGTTATACACCATGCCAGTGTCTTGGGTAGGTATGTTATACACCATGCCAGTGTCTTGTACGTATGTTATACACCATGCCAGTGTCTTGGGTAGGTATGTTATACACCATGCCAGTGTCTTGTACGTATGTTATACACCATGCCAGTGTATTGTACGTATGTTATACACCATGCCAGTGTCTTGGGTAGGTATGTTATACACCATGCCAGTGTCTTGGGTAGGTATGTTATACACCATGCCAGTGTCTAGGGTAGGTATGTTATACACCATGCCAGTGTCTTGGGTAGGTATGTTATACACCATGCCAGTGTCTTGGGTAGGTATGTTATACACCATGCCAGTGTCTTGGGTAGGTATGTTATACACCATGCCAGTGTCTAGGGTAGGTATGTTATACACCATGCCAGTGTCTTGGGTAGGTATGTTATACACCATGCCAGTGTCTTGGGTAGGTATGTTATACACCATGCCAGTGTCTTGGGTAGGTATGTTATACACCATGCCAGTGTCTTGGGTAGGTATGTTATACACCATGCCAGTGTCTTGGGTAGGTATGTTATACACCATGCCAGTGTCTTGGGTAGGTATGTTATACACCATGCCAGTGTCGAGGATAGGTATGTTATACACCATGCCAGTGTCTTGGGTAGGTATGTTATACACCATGCCAGTGTCGAGGGTAGGAATGTTATACACACCATGCCAGTGTCTAGGGTAGGTAGGTTATACACACCATTCCAGTGTCGAGGGTAGGTATGTTATACACACCATTCCAGTGTCGAGGGTAGGTATGTTATACACCATTCCAGTGTCTAGGGTAGGTATGTTATACACCATGCCAGTGTCGAGGGTAGGTATGTTATACACCATGCCAGTGTCGAGGGTAGGTATGTTATACACCATGCCAGTGTCTTGGGTAGGTATGTTATACACCATGCCAGTGTCGAGGGTAGATATGTTATACACCATGCCAGTGTCTTGGGTAGGTATGTTATACACCATGCCAGTGTCTAGGGTAGGTATGTTATACACCATGCCAGTGTCTTGGGTAGATATGTTATATACACCATGCCAGTGTCTTGGGTAGGTATGTTATACACCATGCCAGTGTCTAGGGTAGGTATGTTATACACCATGCCAGTGTCTTGGGTAGATATGTTATATACACCATGCCAGTGTCTTGGGTAGGTATGTTATACACCATGCCAGTGTCTAGGGTAGGTATGTTATACACCATGCCAGTGTCTTGGGTAGATATGTTATACACACCATGCCAGTGTCTTGGGTAGGTATGTTATACACCATGCCAGTGTCTAGGGTAGATATGTTATACACACCATGCCAGTGCCGAGGGTAGGTATGTTATACACCATGCCAGTGTCGAGGGTAGGTATGTTATACACACCATGCCAGTGTCTAGGATAGGTATGTGATACACCATGCCAGTGTCTAGGGTAGGTATGTGATACACCATGCCAGTGTCTTGGGTAGGTATGTTATACACCATGCCAGTGTCTAGGGTAGAACCAATTCTGCCTGAAACAATCATCGCCATGAATTAACAGGAAATTTTACAAGAAACAATGATTTATTTCATAATGATTCAATATTTGTGATACAATAAAAGGGTAAGTCAAAATAAACCAAAAAGCACAGAACCCCGTAATTGTCCTGACGCAAGATGTCAACAGATGCAGTGTAGTTAGCCTTCAGTGGTAGTCTCACATGTGACCTGTGTAACCCTCATCTCGGAGGGTTCACTATGATCAGCCAGTACCTGAAGGTCACCGGGCAACATGTGATGGACATTTTCATGACTTTATTGTTGCTTAGTCAACTGAGACAATACTCTTGATGCAGAGGTTAAGTTTAATTGTTTACAAGCTATACTATGACGTCAACCATATCAGGTAATGATAGTCATTAGTGTCCATTCAGGAAGCCTCATATCACACTTCTTGTACTGGGTAATGTCATACCATACTTCATATACTAGTTGATAATATATCACACTTCATGTACCTGGTAAATAGTATCATATCCTACTCCCCTAGATGGTTGTGTACAAATACTGCTGACTAGGCAAGTACTGGGCCATATGTCATGGCATTATGCTAATGTAGTGGTATTGATGGTGGGGGAACTAGACCACCCAACCCTTGACCAGGTCCAGCTCATGACAAAGCTTCCATGGAGTTTCATCAGTTGTCAGGAGCTGGACCTGGTCCAGGGAGGGGGGTCCAGTGCCCCCATTGTCTAAACTACTTATGTTCATCCATGACACGTTATCAATGCAGCACCATGAATACTGACTAGCACTTTGAAGACCTGGACCACCATCAGCTGATCATGTGATTTAAGATGACATAGCAAAGTAGTCCCTCCGTTTTTCCTGGAACACTGCGACTCGACACAGGAGTGGTGATGCAGATCACCTTCAACTTCAGTACACGTTGTCATGGGAACAGCACTTGTTGCCCAAAAGTTTAATACAAAATGGTATGACTGTTGGCGTTACACCTGGGGCAAGCATGCACCGATATGAATGATGTGATGTACATATTTACATATTGACAACCACGTTGACAACTAGCCCAGACACCGGATCTCACTTTGTGCCTGGTTTTCAGCTGAGCGGAACTCACGTACTGCGTCTGTGCCTGGCTTTCAGCTGAGCGGAACTCACGTACTGCGTCTGTGCCTGGCTTTCAGCTGAGCGGAACTCACGTACTGCGTCTGTGCCTGGCTTTCAGTTGAGCGGAACTCACGTACTGCGTCTGTGCCTGGCTTTCAGTTGAGCAGAAAGCGTACTGTGTCTGTGCCTGGCTTTCAGCTGAGCGGAACTCACGTACTGCGTCTGTGCCTGGCTTTCAGCTGAGCGGAACCCACGTACTGCGTCTGTGCCTGGCTTTCAGTTGAGCGGAACTCACGTACTGCGTCTGTGCCTGGCTTTCAGCTGAGCGGAACTCACGTACTGCGTCTGTGCCTGGCTTTCAGTTGAGCGGAACTCACTTACTGCGTCTGTGCCTGGCTTTCAGCTGAGCGGAACTCACGTACTGCGTCTGTGCCTGGCTTTCAGTTGAGCGGAACTCACGTAATGCGTCTGTGCCTGGCTTTCAGCTGAGCGGAGCTCACGTACTGCGTCTGTGCCTGGCTTTCAGTTGAGCGGAACTCACGTACTGCGTCTGTGCCTGGCTTTCAGCTGAGCGGAACTCACGTACTGCGTCTGTGCCTGGCTTTCAGTTGAGCGGAACTCACGTACTGCGTCTGTGCCTGGCTTTCAGTTGAGCGGAACTCACGTACTGCGTCTGTGCCTGGCTTTCAGTTGAGCGGAACTCACGTACTGCGTCTGTGCCTGGCTTTCAGTTGAGCGGAACTCACGTACTGCGTCTGTGCCTGGCTTTCAGTTGAGCGGAACCCACGTACTGCGTCTGTGCCTGGCTTTCAGCTGAGCGGAACTCACGTACTGCGTCTGTGCCTGGCTTTCAGTTGAGGGGAACTCACGTACTGCGTCTGTGCCTGGCTTTCAGCTGAGCGGAACTCACGTACTGCGTCACTGCCTGGCTTTCAGCTGAGCGGAACTCACGTACTGCGTCTGTGCCTCGCTTTCAGCTGAACGGAACTCACATACTATCTTTGTGTCTGTGTTTGGCACAAACTGTAGTTGCAACTGATCTGCAGAGTCATCCTACAGCTCAATGTCCCGTAGCAAACAAAATACAACTTCATAAATACTTCCGTACAAAAAAACTTTGCCATAAGGGATTTTGTTTTAAACAAATATATAGGAAAGATTGTGACAACACAACATCTGTTCCGACTACAATCACACATTGCTAACACATAACTGAAAACTGTGTTTGTCCTCCAAACATAACCATTCACAAACAGACATTGGGGACTTAATCATGTCATGTGCCCCCATGATGACACGCAGGATCAAACAGGACATGGCCACAAGGAAACAAGATGTCAGGATCAGGAATGCTGCTCAAAGAAACATGTTTGGCAATTAATGGGTAACAATCAACTGAGAAATGAAAAACTGGAATGTAGATATTCTAATTAACAAGATGAATAATTTCACATCAATCTATTTCTGCATGATTTAAATATTGGAGACAAAACACTGATCTGAGATGATGGCAGAACCATTGTGTGTGGAATGACAATGGCCGACTAATTCTGCTGGATCTCTGACAGAATTATTCTGATGGCTTTCGAAGTGGTAGGAGTCAGTAGGTCCCTGGAAGAATGGTAAATGTTGTCCCTGATAATGCCGGTAACATACACATTGATGCAAACTCTTCCAACCTGTTGACTGTCATAAGATGGTTAGATGCACTCCTCTGTCACACGTTTCATCTGGATCAGCTTAAACAGTAACCATGACAACTGCACGCAAGACCAAGAAACACTGAACACTTGTCTCACGACACATGTACACAGCCATGATATTGTCATGCACCAGTCACACAATCCACACCCATTCATAGACACATTCACGAACAGGCAATCATGGACACATATTCATGGACATTCAATCATAGGTACATGTTATCTGCAATACAATCATGGACATACCTTCCCAGATGGTCAATCATGGGCACTCATTCATGTACTAACATTCACAACACACACATCGACACACATTTACTTTGTGTAAGGCACAAGGGTCTCGCATGACTTGACACACCAACATGACCATTTGTCCACCCTGACTTGGTAGAGCGCTGGTCGAGTCACACATGGCATGAGGTCAACAGTCACACGTGACAAGGTCAACAGTCACACGTTTCAAGGTCAACAGTCACATGTGACAAAGTCAACAGTAATGCATGACATAAGGTTAACAGTGACACATGTCAAGGTCAACAGTGACACATGTCAAGGTCAACAGTCATACGTGTCAAGGTCAAGTCACATGTGACAAAGTCAGCAGTAATGCTTGACATGAGGTCAACAGTGACACATGTCGAGGTCAACAGTCATACGTGTCAAGGTCAAGTCACATGTGACAAAGTCAACAGTAATGCTTGACATGAGGTCAACAGTGACAAAAGCAAAAGATTTACCTAGGCTCAACAACGACCCATATTTCAGTCTTTGGAACAATTCATAAAATTACAAATATCTTAAAATGACTTCCCTATCAGTTAGGAGAACTATTCCTCAAAAGAACATGGTAGGGTAAGCAACCTCTTTGGCCGAGCACAAATGTCAAATTGTAAAATTGAAGATAGTGGTAGGAAAAGTATCATACAGGTTCAAATGGGTGATGACTAGGCTTTCTTATTTCTAATACTTGCACGTTTTGGACTTCTCACAAGATCCAATATATAAATATGACTCGAATTAGTGTGAAAAAACGATGTTTCCAACTTGAGGAGGACATCTTATCATGAGCAAGTCTGTGGCCCTGGCTGAGCTGAATGCCATATGGTTGTACTGACTGTATCATCATCTCTAAGGACATCTGCTGATGTTCAAGTATTAATATCAATCTTTAGGGCATATTTTAGCCTTACCTATATATTTAGGGTTAAGTTGAACCATGCAAGTGTTGCACAATGTTGAAAAAAAGCAAAGTTTAATTCTTATATATTTCCATCAACACATCTGATGACTTTCATGACAATGTCGGGAGGTTTTGTTCATTTCATAAATGATGCGGATCCTGTGGGAGACATGGTCCGTACATCACCATGTCCTTTGTGGCCTCAACACATCAGACTATTTCCCCAGTTTGTTTAACATAATTTCAACAGGCCCCTGCCAATTCCACCATTTTCAGTCTAAATCAAAGTCGTTGGAAACTCTAAAAATATTTTTTTTCCAAAATCCCAAACTATCAAAAGGCACCAATTCACCACAAGACCTACCTATGTGCCAAGTTTGGTTAAGATAACTCGCATGGTTTTTTAGTTCTGCTCTGGAAATGAAACGTGAAGGACGGAAGGGCGGAAGGACAGCACCCATTCCTATATCCCCCTTCCACTTTGTGGCGGGGGAAAATAATGTTAACAGAAATCAGTACAGGATAAATGGGAGTCCTGGATAAATCCCTGGCAGGTGATGAGGTCAACTGTTGCCATGGTTACATGACACCCGGTGTCCAGCAAGCCAGGTGGATATTGCACACGCCCTGGTGATGGAGACAGTTATGGTAGCGATGTTTCTCCAACATCCATGCAGACACCAGACACAGAGTGGGTCTCACCCCCACATGCTGCAAGACTTCCTCTCTCCTCACTCAGTCGCCACTTGGCAGTGCAGTAGCAGAGAGGTATCATTTACACGCTGTACACAGCATTAGCGTACAGCCACGGCGACGTCATTGGGTACAACACCACCATCCACAGCAGCATGCCCATGACGAAGAAGGTGACGAGTTTGGTGCGGGTGGGCTTCTGGTAGCCCATCACCTCGCTGAAGGCCGGGAAGCCCATGTGGTTACAGAAGGCGTGAGCAATGACCGGCGCCATCAGGTGACCTGCAACAACAAGATGACAGGTGACAGCTGATTCAGAAGATCGAGCCTAGTGGAACCTGGGGGCTGAGTGGGTTAGATCGCTGACTTTGTGTGCTGGGGATTAGGTGCCTGACTCAGGCAGTGTGGGTTAGATCGCTGACTGTGTGTGCTTGGGATTAGGTGCCTCACTCAGGCAGTGTGGGTTAGATCGCTGACTTTGTGTGCTGGGGATTAGGTGCCTGACTCAGGCAGTGTGGGTTAGATCGCTGACTGTGTGTGCTGGGGATTAGGTGCCTCACTCAGGCAGTGTGGGTTAGATCGCTGACTTTGTGTGCTGGGGATTAGGTGCCTCACTCAGGCAGTGTGGGTTAGATCGCTGACTGTGTGTGCTGGGGATTAGGTGCCTCACTCAGGCAGTGTGGGTTAGATCGCTGACTGTGTGTGCTGGGGATTAGGTGCCTGACTCAGGCAGTGTGGGTTAGATCGCTGACTTTGTGTGCTGGGGATTAGGTGCCTCACTCAGGCAGTGTGGGTTAGATCGCTGACTTTGTGTGCTGGGGATTAGGTGCCTCACTCAGGCTGAGTGGGTTAGATCGCTGACTGTGTGTGCTGGGGATTAGGTGCCTCACTCAGGCAGTGTGGGTTAGATCGCTGACCGTGTGTGCTGGGGATTAGGTGCCTGACTCAGGCAGTGTGGGTTAGATCGCTGACTTTGTGTGCTGGGGATTAGGTGCCTGACTCAGGCAGTGTGGGTTAGATCGCTGACTTTGTGTGCTGGGGATTAGGTGCCTCACTCAGGCTGAGTGGGTTAGATCGCTGACTTTGTGTGCTGGGGATTAGGTGCCTCACTCAGGCTGAGTGGGTTAGATCGCTGACTGTGTGTGCTGGGGATTAGGTGCCTCACTCAAGCAGTGTGGGTTAGATCGCTGACTGTGTGTGCTGGGGATTAGGTGCCTCACTCAGGCAGTGTGGGTTAGATCGCTGACTGTGTGTGCTGGGGATTAGGTGCCCGACTCAGGCAGTGTGGGTTAGATCGCTGACTTTGTGTGCTGGGGATTAGGTGCCTCACTCAGGCTGAGTGGGTTAGATCGCTGACTGTGTGTGCTGGGGATTTGGTGCCTCACTCAGGCAGTGTGGGTTAGATCGCTGACTTTGTGTGCTGGGGATTAGGTGCCTCACTCAGGCTGAGTGGGTTAGATCGCTGACTGTGTGTGCTGGGGATTAGGTGCCTCACTCAGGCAGTGTGGGTTAGATCGCTGACTGTGTGTGCTGGGGATTAGGTGCCTCACTCAGGCAGTGTGGGTTAGATCGCTGACTGTGTGTGCTGGGGATTAGGTGCCTGACTCAGGCAGTGTGGGTTAGATCGCTGACTTTGTGTGCTGGGGATTAGGTGCCTGACTCAGGCAGTGTGGGTTAGATCGCTGACTGTGTGTGCTGGGGATTAGGTGCCTGACTCAAGCAGTGTGGGTTAGATCGCTGACTGTGTGTGCTGGGGATTAGGTGCCTGACTCAAGCAGTGTGGGTTAGATCGCTGACTTTGTGTGCTGGGGATTAGGTGCCTGACTCAGGCAGTGTGGGTTAGATCGCTGACTTTGTGTGCTGGGGATTAGGTGCCTGACTCAAGCAGTGTGGGTTAGATCGCTGACTGTGTGTGCTGGGGATTAGGTGCCTGACTCAGGCAGTGTGGGTTAGATCGCTGACTTTGTGTGCTGGGGATTAGGTGCTTCACTCAGGCAGTGTGGGTTTCGAATCCCAGATTGGACTCAACCCAAAAAGTACCACAATCTGTACTTTACTAAGACAGTGTGATCCCAAATAAAACATGTGTTACCCATGACCACTTTCTAACATTCTGACATTGTGCGTTCACAACTACATGTTGACATGAAAATCAAGTTGCACCAAAGTAAACCAGCTCGATCCTAGTCCAATATATATATTTCCTAGTTGAAACATAGGCCGGTCTGCTGCCAATGTCACATAGATTAATGACGCACTGCTGTAGTGAGTGAGTGAGTGAGTGAGTAAGGTTTTACGCCACGTTTAGCAATATTCCAGCAATATCACCGCGGGGGACACCAGAAATGGGCTTCACACATTGTACCCATGTCGGGAATCGAGCCCAGGTTTTCGGCGTGACAAGCAAACGCTTTAACCATTAGGCTACCCGATCGCCCCGACGCATTGCTGTAATTTAATACAATATGAACATGTGCACATATTCTTGAAATACCCACAGTCAAGCCATTGAAAGCATGACAAATTACACATAAACATAGGGATGAGCGATTTAGTATGGTAAATAAACTTATATTCTGTGTGGACAAGTAAGTGTTAGTCACGCAAAAATTTACCTTTTTTTTAGATCCGCTTGGTGCATGTAGACATAAATATTGGGTTGTATTTTTAAATATTAGGTTGCACTTGTGCATGTTTGACAGAGTTAAACTGAGCCCTGTGCAAGATGTTCCATTAGTACCGCAGACGGCACTTGGTAAGGAGACTCAAGTTACAGATGATATTGTTAATTGTTTCCATTATGAGCGAACAGTGTAATTTGACTGATGTTTTTCACCGATGTCATTCCATCTGACTCAACACGAAGCCATGTTCACCAGTGAGTCCAGGACATTAAATACTATGGAGTTGGAACACACTGGCAAATGAGACGATGAACACTGTTATGAACAGAATATACTTCAGGGCTGGAACACTGATCAGCAGGGGAGGTAACTCTCATGGTATTTACCTGTGGCATGTTTTAACCAGTAGTATCATGCGTTAATGAACACCAAACTAATTGAACATACCTGTTCTGAGGAAGAGGAACGCCGAGTACGCCCCAAAGATGGTTGTATAGAATAACTGGAACACTGCAATAGTAATAGTTACTCGTCAGCAATTTGTGCCCTGCATTTTCTAAATTTCCTAAAAAAATTAAACAATATTGAATAATTAACTCATTGTGTGGCAAGTTGACCCAGTGTTTGAATGATTAACCCAATTAATGGCAAGTCTACCCGGACAACTACACAGCAAAGGTTAACATGTGGATCAAAGCAGAGAGTTTGTTCCATTCAATATTCATGTAACTATCAACCAAACCAGGCAACATGATGCACATCAATACAATCATCTGATCATTTTATAAAATGCCACTGCAGATTTCAGTTCACATCTTCATTTGTATACAACTTCCCAATATTGAAAGAGATTTATTTTTTTATCTGAATACTTTGTTGTATGTTCAAAAACATTTTGCATACTAAAGGGTTAAACTGCATCCAATCAACACCCTGTCTCTCATCATTCATTACCTGAGTAAGACCCAGGCTTGCCATGGTTACACTACCTGATTGTTTAAATGCCTCCAGGACTTCCTGTTGACCCTGAATGACCTTTTCTATCATGTGGTGAAAATGGGCTGAAACAAAACCAAAGAATTGCAGAGTCATATCTTGGTGTCAGGGAATGACATATTTCTCTATAGGATTCCACATAGACCCTTCTGTACAGGAGTCCACAAAGACCCTTCTGAACAGGGGTCCACATAGATCCTTCTGTACAGGAATCCACATAGACCCTTCTGTACAGGAGTCCACATAGACCCTTCTTAACAGGAGTCCACATAGATCCTTCTGTACAGGAGTCCACATAGATCCTTCTCTACATGAGTCCTCATAGACCCTTCTGTACAGGGGTCCACATACACCCTTCTGTACAGGAGTCCACATAGACCCCTCTGTACAGGAGTCCACATAGACCCCTCTGTACAGGAGTCCACATAGACCCTTCTGTACAGGAGTCCACATACACCCTTCTGTACAGGGGTCCACATACACGCTTCTGTACAGGAGTCCACATAGACCCCTCTGTACAGGAGTCCACATAGACCCTTCTGTACAGGAGTCCAGATAGACCCCTCTGTACAGGAGTCCACATAGACCCTTCTGTACAGGAGTCCACAAAGACCCTTCTGTACAGGGGTCCACAAAGACCCTTCTGTACAGGAGTCCACATAGATCCTTCTGTACAGGTGTCCACATAGACCCTTCTGTACAGGAGTCCACATAGACCCTTCTGAACAGGAGTCCACATAGATCCTTCTGTACAGGAGTCCACATAGACCCTTCTGTACAGGAGTCCACATAGACCCTTCTGAACAGGAGTCCACATAGATCCTTCTGTACAGGAGTCCACATAGACCCTTCTGTACAGGAGTCCACATAGACCCTTCTCTGCAGAAAAAACAGTTTGACAATTATGTACAGCCCGACCGTTTTACCTGCACTGTGATATAAACAGAAGTATCCCCAGGGCACTTTTTGTTGTATTTAAGAGGATGTATATGCTGCATGATCATATCAATTACATACTGTAGCAGTTCAGCTAGTCTGATAGCATCAAATTTTGGCCAATATCTACAGAAGTATGCCTCGACTTACCGACTCCGAAGAATAATGGACAGAGGAAGATGCTGGTCCCTGGACCAAATGCTGGCACCAGGATTGGCAGCATGCATGCTCGGAATATGAACTCCTCAGAGAACGGTGCCTGAAACAAAGGGAGCATTGCTGTCAGTAACGACATGCTGCATGTTGGACAACAATGGATGTCATGCAGAATACACACGTAATCTTACAACCAACTGATGGGCTATAAACCCTGCCTACAACATGATAAAAGTTTCCACGTAATATGTGATTAAGTGTTAGTGCTACCAAAAACATTTCTGAAATTGTGTGAACCTATACGTTTTCAATTCTATGACTGTGTGACCTCCGCAATCAGAGCAACTGGGTTACATCAAGTCATTCCGAAACCATCTACATCCGGAAGATGGATTTCCAAACTAACTGGGTTACATCAAGTCATTCTGAACCATCTACATCCGGAAGATGGATTTCCAAACTAACTGGGTTACATCAAGTCATTCTGAACCATCTACATCCAGAAGATGGATTTCCAAACTAACTGGGTTACATCAAGTCATTCTGAACCAACTACATTCGGAAGATGGATTTCCAAACTAACTGGGTTACATCAAGTCATTCTGAACCAACTACATTCGGAAGATGGATTTCCAAACTAACTGGGTTACATCAAGTCATTCTGAACCATCTACATCCGGAAGATGGATTTCCAAACTAACTGGGTTACATCAAGTCATTCTGAACCATCTACATCCGGAAGATGGATTTCCAAACTAACTGGGTTACATCAAGTCATTCTGAACCATCTACATCCGGAAGATGGATTTCCAAACTAAGTGGGTTACATCAAGTCATTCTGAACCATCTACATCCGGAAGATGGATTTCCAAACTAACTGGGTTACATCAAGTCATTCTGAACCATCTACATCCGGAAGATGGATTTCCAAACTAACTGGGTTACATCAAGTCATTCTGAACCATCTACATCCGGAAGATGGATTTCCAAACTAACTGGGTTACATCAAGTCATTCTGAACCATCTACATCCGGAAGATGGATTTCCAAACTAACTGGGTTACATCAAGTCATTCTGAACCATCTACATCCGGAAGATGGATTTCCAAACTAACTGGGTTACATCAAGTCATTCTGAACCATCTACATCCGGAAGATGGATTTCCAAACTAACTGGGTTACATCAAGTCATTCTGAACCATCTACATCCGGAAGATGGATTTCCAAACTAACTGGGTTACATCAAGTCATTCTGAACCAACTACATTCGGAAGATGGATTTCCAAACTAACTGGGTTACACTGAGCCTCACCTTTTCTTTCATAGAATAATCTTGAAAAATACAGAAGAAAATACTACTGGTGTAGTGAGAGATGAAGTGGCAGATATACTCACGACGATGTGGTTGCGAATCCAGATGAGGTTGCTCAGACTGTTGGTCCAGTACCGCGGTTCTGTAGAAGACAATCACAGGGGACATGAGATCATACCGCCAGTAGTCAGCAATATTACATCCATAACATTATGGCCGGTTCTCAGCAATATGACGGCTATAACATGGCCGTCGGTAATCAGCAATATTACATCTATAACATTACTGCCAGTTCTCAGCAATATGATAGCTATAACATGGCCGTTGGTAGTCAGCAATATGACAGTCATAACATGGCCGCCGGTAGTAAGCAATATGACAGCTATAACATGGCCATCGGTAGTCAGCAATATGACAGTCATAACATGGCTGCCGATAGTCAGCAATATGACAGTCATAACATGGCTGCCGATAGTCAGCAATATGACAGTCATAACATGGCTGCCGATAGTCAGCAATATGACAGTCATAACATGGCCGCTGGTAGACAGCAATATGACAGTTATAACATGGCCGCCGGTAGTCAGCAATATGACAGTTATAACATGGCCGCTGGTCATGACAGCAATATTAAAACGTGAAAAAATGTGGCATCAGCAACATTACCCCATGGGGACTCCTGGTTAGACAGCTGCTCCTGATGTAAGGAACTGGACAGCCTGTACAAGATTGGAATATTTCCAAGCCACCATCCAACAGCAACTTTGATACAGTCTCAACTTTACACTCGTTCAAAACGATGTCCAGTTAAAACGAGACAGAAGGGGTCTCACCTAAAGAACATTCCACAATGAAGTACTTACCCAGGTACAGTCGGAACACGCCGTCTATGTAGTGCAGAGCCAGGGGCCCCATGAACAGCACCTGCAGCATACAAACACACCATCACAAACACACCATCACAAACACCAAAATGACGGAGTGGCCACAGCATGTTGCCTGTTGATTAGGGGTGAATACACAACATATCGCGATACCCATATTTACGTCAAATCGCATGGAAACTTCTAAAATAAATATTTCAGAGCAGGTTCAAAAGGAAAAGCTAGCTCTAGACACATGTTCATGTTGTATCGATACAGAAAAAAAACATATTGTGTATCGTACCGTCGTATGAAAACTCATGATGCACCCATTTATCATTTCACCCTTACTACTGAGGTGACTCCCACTCTAGTCTCAGCACAGGATCAGTTACCACGAGGGACGTTCAATAAGTCTTGTAACTTGGGCATTTATGTTTACACAAACAATGACACAGCTTGTGGCAGGCGTGACACTCATCATACCATCAGGTTGACACGTGTCATAGCATCAGGTTGACACTCATCATAACATCAGGTTGACACTCATCATAACATCAGGTTGACACGTGTCATAGCATCAGGTTGACACTCATCATAACATCAGGTTGACACTCATCATAACATCAGGTTGACACTCATCATACCATCAGGTTGACACTCATCATACCATCAGGTTGACACTCATCATAACATCAGGTTGACACTCATCATAACATCAGGTTGACACGTGTCAAACCATCAGGTTGACACTCATCATAACATCAGGTTGACATGTGTCATAACATCAGGTTGACACTCATCATACCATCAGGTTGACACGTGTCATAGCATCAGGTTGACACTCATCATAACATCAGGTTGACACTCATCATAACATCAGGTTGACACGTGTCATAACATCAGGTTGACACTCATCATAACAACAGGTTGACACGTGTCATAACATCAGGTTGACACTCATCATAACATCAGGTTGACACGTGTCATAACATCAGGTTGACACTCATCATAACATCAGGTTGACACTCATCATAACATCAGGTTGACACTCATCGTAACATCAGGTTGACACTCATCATAACATCAGGTTCACACGTGTCATAACATCAGGTTGACACTCATCATAACATCAGGTTGACACGTGTCATAACATCAGGTTGACACGTGTCATAACATCAGGTTGACACTCATCATAACATCAGGTTGACACTCATCATAACATCAGGTTGACACTCATCATAACATCAGGTTGACACTCATCATAACATCAGGTTGACACTCATCATAACATCAGGTTGACACTCATCATAACATCAGGTTGACACGTGTCATAACAAGTTCCAGACACAATAATAGTGAGTGAGTGAGTGAGTGAGTATAGTTTTAAGCCGCTTTTAGCAATATTCCAGCAACATATCACGGCGGGGGACACCAGAAATGGGCTTCACACATTGTACCCATGTCGGGAATCGAACCCGGGTTTTCGGCGTGACGAGCGAAAGCTTTAAGCACTAGGCTACCCGACCGCCCCAGACACAACAGTAAGTTAGATGTGATGGCTTCATTCACCTAAGGGTGTTCACAATCTGGATTCTCTCAAACATGAACAACGCGCTGTAATAAAGTTCCTTACCAAGGAGGGATGCAAAGCAAAAGAAATCCATGATCGCATGTATAACGTGATGGGTATGGATGCTCCTGACTATTCCACAGTTTGCCGTTGGTCTCTACAGTTTAAAAGGGGTAGGGAGTCCATAGACGATGACCCAAGGTCAGGCAGGCCTTCAGATGCCACCCAACCGGAAACCATTGCTGCTATAGAAAGAAGAATTTTGTCTGACCGATGAGTGAAAGTATCTGAACTTTCTAGGGAATTCCAAATATCAGTTGGAACTGTTGGAACCATTATTCATGAGCATCTTGGTATGTCCAAGGTATCTTCGAGATGGGTACCTAGACACCTCAGAGCTCAAGATCTGAAAGTTGTAGAGACCTCCTGGATCTCTATACTGCTGATGAAGCCGGATTTTTTCTCGTCTAGTGGGACCCAGAAACTAAATTTGAATACATGCAATGGAAGCACCCCAATTCTCCGCCTCCGAGGAAGTTTCGCACTCAACCATCGGCTGGCAGAGTAATGGCGACCATATTTTGGGATGCAAGAGGCATATTACTGATTGATTACATGCCACCAAAAACTACAATCGATGGACAGTATTATGCTAATGTAATGAAAGAATTGCGAAAATCTATTCACCAGAAACGCCATGGGATGTTAACACGTGGTATTCTACTTTTGCATAACAACGCTCCGGTTCAGAAGTCAAGAATTGCACAGGTCGCCATATGTGAATGTGGATTTGAACAGTTAAATCACCAACCCTACAGCCCAGACTTAGCCCCCAGTGACTATTTCCTGTTCCGGCAAATGAAATCTGCACTACGTGGAAGACGGTTCCAGGATGACAAGGACATGAAGGCTTCAACAGAGGCGTGGTTAGAGGGCCAATCTACGGATTTCTATAAAAGTGGTATTAAAAGCTGGAAGGACAAATGGAATAAATGTATTGAGGTGAATGGAGATTATATTGAAAAATAAAAGTTCAATAGACATTCTGCAACTTATATTGAAGTTGCAAAACTTACTGACCGTCCCTCGTATCATCACCTTGACAGGGAACCGTGGCAACTAGTCCCAATGTAACCTCCTGGTTAGCATTAGTTCAGGAGTCGCCTCCCTCTCATGGCGACCCATGAAGATCCGGGGTAGAATAGGTCTTCAGCAACGCATGCTTGCCCTAAAAGGTGACTATGCTTGTCGTAAGAGGCAACTAACAGGATCTGATGGTCTGGCTCGCTGACTTGGTTGATACAGTCATCTATGGTGTCGCCAAACAGAATAAGGACACCAAATAATTGCTGGGCTGCTTTAACAGGTAACCATAGTAACAGACACTTACCATTGTGAGTATCAGCGGAACAAAGAGAGCCGGCAGAAATCCCCAGAATCGAATTCCCAGCCAGGAAAGTAGGCCATGTCCCTAAAAAACAAACAACATCATCATCATCATCATCATCACTTGACCACACATAGCATCAACAAATATTTTAATGCCCACCTCCCCAGAGTTCAAGTTATCATGACAGCACCTCACACACAGAATGTCTGATGCCCCTCCTGACAGCACCTCACACACAGAATGTCTGATGCCCCTCCTGACAGCACCTTACACACAGAATGTCTGATGCCCCTCCTGACGGCACCTTACACACAGAATGTCTGATGCCCCTCCTGACAGCACCTTACACACACAATGTCTGATGCCCCTCCTGACAGCACCTTACACACACAATGTCTGATGCCCCTCCTGACAGCACCTTACACACAGAATGTCTGATGCCCCTCCTGACAGCACCTTACACACAGAATGTCTGATGCCCCTCCTGACAGCACCTTACACACAGAATGTCTGATGCCCCTCCTGACAGCACCTTACACACAGAATGTCTGATGCCCCTCCTGACAGCACCTTACACACAGAATGTCTGATGCCCCTCCTGACAGCACCTTACACACAGAATGCCTGATGCCCCTCCTGACAGCACCTTACACACAGAATGTCTGATGCCCCTCCTGACAGCACCTTACACACACAATGTCTGATGCCCCTCCTGACAGCACCTTACACACAGAATGTCTGATGCCCCTCCTGACAGCACCTTGCACACAGAATGTCTGATGCCCCTCATGACAGCACCTTACACACAGAATGTCTGATGCCCCTCCTGACAGCACCTTACACACAGAATGTCTGATGCCCCTCCTGACAGCACCTTACACACAGAATGTCTGATGCCCCTCCTGACAGCACCTTGCACACAGAATGTCTGATGCCCCTCCTGACAGCACCTTACACACAGAATGTCTGATGCCCCTCCTGACAGCACCTTGCACACAGAATGTCTGATGCCCCTCCTGACAGCCCCTTACACACAGAATGCCTGATGCCCCTCCTGACAGCACCTTACACACAGAATGTCTGATGCCCATCCTGACAGCACCTTACACACAGAATGTCTGATGCCCCTCCTGACAGCACCTTACACACACAATGTCTGATGCCCCTCCTGACAGCACCTTACACACAGAATGTCTGATGCCCCTCCTGACAGCACCTTACACACACAATGTCTGATGCCCCTCCTGACAGCACCTTACACACAGAATGTCTGATGCCCCTCCTGACAGCACCTTCCACACAGAATGTCTGATGCCCCTCCTGACAGCACCTTACACACAGAATGCCTGATGCCCCTCCTGACAGCACCTTACACACAGAATGTCTGATGCCCCTCCTGACAGCACCTTGCACACAGAATGTCTGATGCCCCTCCTGACAGCACCTCACACACAGAATGTCTGATGCCCCTCCTGACAGCACCTTACACACAGAATGTCTGATGCCCCTCCTGACTTCACCTTACACACAGAATGTCTAATGCCCCTCCTGACTTCACCTTACACACAGAATGTCTAATGCCCCTCCCCAGTGTATTCGATCTTATCACTGCTGCAGTACTTGTGTCACCTTACTGGTGCACCAACTCACACTGACAGCAGACCACATACATGGTCTAGTGGATAGAGTGTCTGCCCAAAGAGAGGAAGATGGGGGTTTTATCCCCTGGCCACGCGAACCAAAAGACAGGTTTGGTTTTACTTGTTGTTACCCTGTCTAGCACTCAGTGATAAAAGAAGTACTGGTCGGCTTTGTTTGCGTGTCTCCATGTTAAACCTGATTATCCTTCTCTCACACTGACAACTGATTATCCTTCTCTCACACTGACAACAGATTTACCTTCCTTCAAACTGACAACTGATTATCCTTCTCTCACACTGACAACAGATTTACCTTCCTTCACACTGACAACTGATTATCCTTCCCTCACACTGACAACTGATTATCCTTCTCCCACACTGACAACAGATTTACCTTCCTTCACACTGACAACTGATTATCCTTCCTTCACACTGACAACTGATTATCCTTCTCCCACACTGACAACTGATTATCCTTCTCTCACACTGACAACTGATTATCCTTCTCTCACACTGACAACTGATTATCCTTCTCTCACACTGACAACTGATTATCCTTTTCTCACACTGACAACTGATTCACTTTCTCTCACACTGACAACTGATTATCCTTTTCTCACTCTGATAACTGATTCACTTTCTCTCACACTGACAACTGATTCACTTTCCCTCACACTGACAACAGATTATCCTTCTCTCACACTGACAACTGATTATCCTTTTCTCACACTGACAACTGATTATCCTTTTCTCACACTGACAACTGATTATCCTTTTCTCACACTGACAACTGATTCACTTTCTCTCACACTGACAACTAATTCACTTTCCCTCACACTGACAACTCATTATCCTTTTCTCACACTGACAACTGATTATCCTTTTCTCACACTGACAACTGATTCACTTTCTCTCACACTGTCAACTGATTATCCTTTTCTCACACTGACAACTGATTCACTTTCTCTCACACTGACAACTGATTCACTTTCCTTCACACTGACAACTGATTCACTTTCTCTCACACTGACAACTGATTATCCTTCCTTCACACTGACAACTGAATATCCTTCTCTCACACTGACAACTGAATATCCTTTTCTCACACTGACAACTGATTATCCTTTTCTCACACTGACAACTGATTCACTTTCCCTCACACTGACAACTGATTCACTTTCCTTCACACTGACAACTGATTCACTTTCTCTCACACTGACAACTGATTATCCTTCCTTCACACTGACAACTGAATATCCTTTTCTCACACTGACAACTGAATATCCTTTTCTCACACTGACAACTGATTATCCTTTTCTCACACTGACAACTGATTATCCTTTTCTCACACTGACAACTGAATATCCTTTTCTCACACTGACAACTGAATATCCTTCTCTCACACTGACAACTGATTCACTTTCCCTCACACTGACAACTGATTCACTTTCCCTCACACTGACAACTGATTCACTTTCTCTCACACTGACAAGAGACAACTGATTATCCTTCCCTCACACTGACAACTGATTATCCTTCTCTCACACTGACAACTGATTATCCTTCTCTCACACTGACAACTGATTATCCTTCTCTCACACTGACAACTGATTATCCTTCTCTCACACTGACAACTGATTATCCTTCTCTCACACTGACAACTGAATATCCTTCTCTCACACTGACAACTGATTATCCTTCTCTCACACTTACAACTGATTATCCTTCTCTCACACTGACAACTGATTCACTTTCCCTCACACTGACAACTGATTATCCTTCTCTCACACTGACAACTGATTATCCTTCTCTCACACTGACAACTGATTATCCTTTTCTCACACTGACAACTGATTATCCTTCTCTCACACTGACAACTGATTATCCTTTTCTCACACTGACAACTGATTCACTTTCCCTCACACTGACAACTGATTATCCTTCTCTCACACTGACAACTGATTATCCTTCTCTCACACTGACAACTGATTATCCTTCTCTCACACTGACAACTGATTCACTTTCCCTCACACTGACAACTGATTATCCTTCTCTCACACTGACAACTGATTCACTTTCCCTCACACTGACAACTGATTATCCTTCTCTCACACTGACAACTGATTATCCTTCTCTCACACTGACAACTGATTATCCTTTTCTCACACTGACAACTGAATATCCTTCTCTCACACTGACAACTGATTATCCTTTTCTCACACTGACAACTGATTCACTTTCCCTCACACTGACAACTAATTCACTTTCTCTCACACTGACAAGAGACAACTGATTATCCTTCCCTCACACTGACAACTGATTATCCTTCTCTCACACTGACAACTGATTATCCTTCTCTCACACTGACAACTGATTATCCTTCTCTCACACTGACAACTGATTATCCTTCTCTCACACTGACAACAGATTATCCTTCTCTCACACTGACAACTGAATATCCTTCCTTCACACTGACAACTGATTATCCTTCTCTCACACTGACAACTGATTATCCTTCTCTCACACTGACAACTGATTCACTTTCCCTCACACTGACAACTGATTATCCTTCTCTCACACTGACAACTGATTATCCTTCTCTCACACTGACAACTGATTATCCTTCTCTCACACTGACAACTGATTATCCTTTTCTCACACTGACAACTGATTATCCTTCTCTCACACTGACAACTGATTATCCTTTTCTCACACTGACAACTGATTCACTTTCCCTCACACTGACAACTGATTATCCTTCTCTCACACTGACAACTGATTATCCTTCTCTCACACTGACAACTGATTATCCTTCTCTCACACTGACAACTGATTCACTTTCCCTCACACTGACAACTGATTATCCTTCTCTCACACTGACAACTGATTATCCTTCTCTCACACTGACAACTGATTCACTTTCTCTCACACTGACAAGAGACAACTGATTATCCTTCCCTCACACTGACAACTGATTATCCTTCCCTCACACTGACAACTGACTATGACTGACATATTGACTCACCTGGTCTGATTCCTGGTATTCACTGAAGATCCACAGCATGGGTGGTACAAGAAGGGAGATAATCCCGACACTGATGAACCGCCGCTTGATTGTGTCTGGGTGATCTCTGAAAGACATTCAACATGTAGAAGGAAGCTGATGGTCCGTGGGATTTACTCACTCATTCAAGAATTCAAAACTAAGGGAGATCATTAATATCAGTTATCACACACAAAAAGGACCGGTGAGGATACGTGTTAGAATTGGTCTTCAGCAACATATGCTTGTCGGAAGAGGTAACTGGATCATATAGCTGGAATATTGCTGAGTGCTGCGTTAAACAACAAATAAACAAACTAACAAACAAAAAAAGATTGAATTATTCTCAACAAAGCATTGCATAACCATAGTAACGACTGAGAACATCCTTTCCTACTTCATTAAAGCAGATATGAAACTGTCTATTTATAAATCTGAAGTGTTACCAGGATTACCTGATTTAATGATGTATACATGATATAGATATTTATACATCTTTGCCTGAACAAATATAATTTGCTGTATTTTACAGCAGGTTTATCATAAACGTGTGAATTTATTATTATAGCTGTCATAAAATCTGATTAGGGCCTATATGAAACATTATTTGATCATGGTGAAAGCACGAACGTAAGTTAATTTGATCAATATTTTATTTATTGCAGTATCTCTATCATAAATTGTAGTGTATTTGTAAGGTCGAAAGTTTGTCACCTTCAACAATGTCTGTAGCAATTCTACCTCGATGTTGATCAATATGGCGTCGACAACTCCTGTCGCCAACATCAGCTTCTTAATGTCTCTCTCCATATTTTGTCAAAACGTGCCCGGGTATCCATTTGTCATGTGCACGATAATCACGCACCCACACCTGGTTTACTTGCAGTTGTCTAGTCTCAGCTGGATCACTCATTTGGCCTGCCAACTTAGATGACATAGCAGACTGAATGTCTGGTTTCAGCAAGTCTAACTTTGTCCTTAATTCTCGCCCCAGAAACAACTTTGCTGGAGTTTCACGGGTAGTGCAATGAGGAGTCGACCTGTAAGCCAGCAGAAACTGATCAACCTTTGTCAACACAGATCCACCGTCTTCCTTAGCTGCCTTCATGGCCTGTTTGAATGACTGGACTGCCCTCTCAGCCTGTCCATTAGTAGCCGGATCATATGGAGCTGACAAAATATGTTTGACACCATTGCATTTAAAAAATGCTTCGAACTCTTCTGACACAAATTGCACTCCATTATCTGTAACCACTTGATGTGGCAAACCGAACTGTGCACACAGCTTTCGTACTTCCTTCACTGTAGCACTAGATGTTGTAGAATTCATTACTACAATTTCTGGCCATTTTGAAAATGCATCAACAATTAACAGAAAGATGTGACCCATAAATGGCCCTGGGAAGTCAAGATGAATGCAGGTCCATGGACATGACGGCGGAGCTCATGGGTGTACAGGGGCTAACTGTGGATTGTTGTGAGTGTTCTTGCATGTTGAATATGTCTTGGCAATTTCCTCTATTTCACCATCTATCACAGGCCACCAAATGTAACTTCTTGCTACAGATTTCATTTTCTCAACTCCAAAATGTCCCGTGTGCAATTCTTGCAACACAGTCTTTCTCAGTTTAGAGGGAATTACTACTCTCATTCACCACATCACACAGCCCATATGTACAGTGAGTTCAAACCTTCGACTGTGATATGCTTTCTTCATGAAATCTTCCCCATGCTCTCTTGTCCATCCATTCATCACCGCTGTGTACACTTGAGACAGTAGAGGATCACGTCTTGTTTCGTTTCTAACATCAGCAGTAGTAACTGGTAGTTGCTCAAACTGTCGGTTGTAAAACATCTCCACGTCATCTGGTGATTCCTTCTGCTCCCTGGTAACATTGACAAGTGGAAGTCTGGATAACACATCAGCATTTGCATGCTTCTCTGATGCCTTATACTCAATCTCATAATCATATGCACGTAGGATGCACGTAGGATGCACACCCATCTCCGCATCCGAGCAGCCGCAAGTGTAGGCACCAGTCTTCCAGCTCCAAACAGTAGACGATGATATGTGATTAATGTGAAATGTCTGCCATGAATGTACTGGTGAAACCGTTTTATACCGAAAATAATCCCCAAAGCTTCTTTGTCTATTTGAGAATATCCACTCTCAGCTTTCTCCAGTGTGCAGGAAGCAAATGCAATGGGCCTTTCCAAGCCATCCCTTGTAACATGTGATAGTACTGCCCCAACACCATATGACGAAGCATCACACGCAAGGTGTATGGGTAGTGAAGGATCGTAATTACACATACCACATCCGAGTTGGCAATCATGCACTTGCATTTCCTGAAAGCTTCTTTACGCCCACTTCTTATCTTTCCTCAGTAAGTCATTAAGTGCATCTAGTACCGTAGATAAATGCTTCAAAAAACGCCCATAATAGTTTACAGCACCCAAAAATGAACGTAGTTGCGATATATTCTCTGGTCGTGGAGCGTCAGTTAAGGCCTGTATCACCTGTTATCCTTAGCAGTGTGAAGTCCCTCAGTATCTATCACATGACCTAGATACTTGACTGAATCGACAAAAAACTTGCACTTTCCCCTCTTCACTCTCAAACCATATTGCTGCAACCTTTTCAACACTGCCTTGATTTCTGAAATGGTCTTCATCACTTGATCCGGTCACTAAAATGTCATCTTGATGACACACTACTTTGTCCAAGCCTTACAATATCTGGTCCATTGTGGCCTGAAATATGGCTGGTGCAGAGGCGATGCCAAAAGCAAGACGGGTATACCTGTAAAGTCCCTTCGGTGTGTTAACTGTCAAATACTTCTGACAATCTGTATCCACTTCCATCTGTTGATACGCATATGCTAAGTCTATTTTTGAAAATTTTCTTCCACCAGCCAGAGTAGCAAACAAATCTTCTATTTTGTGCAGTGGGTGCTTGTTAACATTCAACACTGGGTTCACTGTAGACTTGAAGTTCCCACAAATTCTCACTGTTACCTCCCCTTTCATAACAGGTACAATCAGAGTTGCCCACTCACTGTGATCTACTTTAATCAATACCCCATTCTTCTCCATTCGTGTAATCTCTTCCTTCACCCTGTCCTGTAAAGTATAAGGTACAGGCCTTGCTTTAATGAACCTGTGAAAAACTCCCTCGTTGAACTTGACAGACAGATGAGCTTTAATTGTACCAATTTCTTCTGAGAAAACATCACAGTACTTCACAAGCATCTCTTCCAACTTTACATTGTTTACATTTACATTTCCGGTTGACCTTGAACTTGATCCTGGGTCATGACCCGAACTCTTCATTCGACAAACTGCCTGCAGATGGCCTCGTTTGCAACAGAACGAACACACTGTATCCTTAAATCTGCAATTGTTGGCAAGGTAAAATGAGTTACCGCAACGATAACAGAACTTAGTGTTTCCAGTCCTAGGTTTGCTGTTGAACGAAAACACTTCGGTAGATCTGTGTCTCTTGTCGCTACCTCGGCTATGCTCATCACAGCCCTTGGCCCCTAATTCCAAAGACTCTACAATTGCCAATGCCCGGTCAACAGTCAGGTCATTTTCTGCTAACAATTTCCTTTGAATTGGAATAGTTCTCAAACCTAGCACAAGTTGGTCCCGCAGCCTCTCATATAAAGTAACGCCAAACTCACAGTTTCGCGAAAGTCCCTTCAATGGAACCAAATATTGTGCAGCTGTTTCACTTTCACTTTCCATCCGTTTGTGAAATCTGTATCTTTCTGCAATGACTAGAGGTCTGGGCATGTAGTAATTCTGTAGATGTGTCACTAAGTAATCGAATCTGTGGTCTTGCGGTCTCGCTGGCGAAAGTAAAGATTTTAGCACTCCATATGTTCTGCCGCCGAGCATGGAAAGAAATCCGTGCACTCATCGCTCGTTTGGAATTACGTTTGCGTCAAAGAACAGAATCACTCTTTCTGCATACGACGACCATTCTTCACCGATGATGCCCGCCATTGTGATGATCACGAGCAGTCCCACTATCATTTGCAAAACCCCGCACTGCTGAATAAAACCATGTGTATCAGCAAAGGCCAACTGTAAAATTCAACCTTGCACGTAATATTTCCGTACTTTGAAGTTTTTATCCTCGTCGCCACTGTAGTGTAATTGTAAGACTGTACATCATGCTCAGGTACTTGTACGACCCGCACCTAGACAGGGAGGAACAACAAGCAACAAGATGTCTGACCCGCACCTAGACTGGGAGGAACATCAAGCAACAAGACGTCTGACCCGCACCTAGACTGGGAGGAACATCAAGCAACAAGATGTCTGACCCGCACCTAGACTGGGAGGAACATCAAGCAACAAGACGTCTGACCCGCACCTAGACTGGGAGGAACATCAAGCAACAAGATGTACGACCCGCACCTAGACTGGGAGGAACATCAAGCAACAAGACGTCTGACCCGCACCTAGACTGGGAGGAACATCAAGCAACAAGACGTCTGACCCGCACCTAGACTGGGAGGAACATCAAGCAACAAGACGTCTGACCCGCACCTAGACTGGGAGGAACATCAAGCAACAAGACGTCTGACCCGCACCTAGACTGGGAGGAACATCAAGCAACAAGATGTCTGACCCGCACCTAGACTGGGAGGAACATCAAGCAACAAGATGTCTGACCCGCACCTAGACTGGGAGGAACATCAAGCAACAAGACGTCTGACCCGCACCTAGACTGGGAGGAACATCAAGCAACAAGACGTCTGACCCGCACCTAGACTGGGCGGAACATCAAGCAACAAGATGTCTGACCCGCACCTAGACTGGGAGGAACATCAAGCAACAAGACGTCTGACCCGCACCTAGACTGGGAGGAACATCAAGCAACAAGATGTCTGACCCGCACCTAGACTGGGAGGAACATCAAGCAACAAGATGTCTGACCCGCACCTAGACTGGGAGGAACATCAAGCAACAAGATGTCTGACCCGCACCTAGACTGGGAGGAACATCAAGCAACAAGACGTCTGACCCGCACCTAGACTGGGAGGAACATCAAGCAACAAGACGTCTGACCCGCAC